TGTTCATTGTGGAGTCTCTCTCGCTCTCTCTTTCCCTCTGTGCTTTGATTATTTTGGTTATAACTTTTGCTGTTAGCGGTGGCGGTTTGCTAGTGCCATCGTTACACTGGCCAATCTAAGGCCATTTTCTCATATCAATTTGATTTTTTTTTGCTTGATTTCCATTTCGGCTCTTTCATTCTGCCTCAACACAACGCTTCTTCTTTTTTTCTTCCCATTTACTTTCATTTCATAACTGTGAGAGATTTTTATTACATATATTTTTTTGTTTATTTCGCTGTTCTTTCGAGTTTTACGTTGTTTACGCAAACTTCATTCAAACGAATCGAACAATTTACTTTTTGGCTCTGGTACACCCGAAATTATTCCGAAAGGTGTATTTTTTTTATATAAATATTTGTTTCCATTTAAAGCGTCATGCCTTTTTGTGCTTCTAATATTTGTTCACCCACTACAACCAAAGTGTGGCACACTACACACACGCAGCCTTTGAGTACACTCACTTCGCATCACTTTGTTCGGAACATTCATTTATGTCAAACTCATCATAAATTTTTGTTTTTTTTTTATTTCTGCTTTTTCAAATCGCACCGATCACTGAGATTTTGCGGTTTATTTGATTGATTTATTTCTCTATTTTTTTGCATTTCTTAATCGGAAATCTAGATTGTGTACGTTGCTTATGATCTGTTTTGCCGCGTTTGCATTTACAGCAGAGCAAAGTTCAGGCAAATCAGTTGCTTAGAGAAAAACAAAACCAAAGGAAATCACAATCAAAATCATCGTAAAAATTGTATCAACCAACGTAAACAGAATCACATTTTCTTCGAATGAGCAAAACGTAAATCAAAAAACGAGATAGTTAAACGACAAAACGATTCACAATCGAAACAAATACAAACATTTTGGTGTGTGTTGTGTGGCGTACGCTCACTTGAAAACTGAAACTCAGCCAGTCTCAGCCCGTGGTTGTTCTTGTCAATGAAGTTTCGCTCTCGCAAAACTTTGGGATTTTGCATTTATTGAGAGAGTGTTTTTCAAATACAATTTATTTTTTCCTTTTTGGTTGTGTTTTTGTTGGTATTGTATTTTGTGTGTATGCGTTGAGCCAGCACCGTAGCTGGCTGGCTGGCTGGCTTTTTGTTTACCAGCACATTCCAACCAATATGTCCATAGTATATCTAAACGCCGAATGGGAATGGATGAAGAGAAAAAAGTAAAGGGGACGTTAACAGCGAATTAAGCGAACAGTATGCCAACCGCACGCGCACGCTCTCCGCGCGCCCTCATATTCGTATCACAACAATAATAAAAGCCCAGCAGCACTAGCAGCCAGCCACAACAACAACAACAGCAACATTCATAAAAATGATATACTTTTGAAGCATTAACCGCATTTGTACACATGTATTCAATGCACAAGCATTGAATGTGGATTGGAGTGACGGTGATCGCTATCGTCAGCATAATCGTCGCGGCTCAGAAATCAATGAACGAAACTTACAATTATTTTCGTATCAGCGAATACACACATCGTACGAAGAGCATAGAGTAACAACAATAACAACTACAGCAGCCGCAACAGCAGCCGACATAACGGGCCATACATGCGATGTCGTTGCTGTACACTGCTATAGAAGCAACAACCCGAAAAACCAACGCGTATCGGAGAAATCTCTCACAATCATTCTCTCGCTGATAAAGAAAGACAGAATGAAAAACCAAATGTTTGGACTAACGCTGATATATGATTGTGATAGTGAAAACATATTGATGAGTTTCCAAATAAAGGCGATCGAAATCTCTTTACTCTTTGCACAAACGGAAACAAGAGAAAGAAACAAGAATTGGTGGTGTTTTTTTCTTAGCTGTAGAAGTTCATGTTCAAATGTAAGGAGAAAAAAAATTAAATTCATGGAAAAAATGAGCACACACAAAAACAATCTTCGAGTCGAAGTGTTGTTGCTGTTGCTGCTGCTGCTTTTTTTCATTGTAGAGACGAATGCAATAAATGCGGTGCGAACACACTGATATATACACTTTCTGTGCGGCCCGTATATATCGATATAATGCTATGGCATGCATGTTATATACGGCTCATGCTCATGTCCTCTCGTTCTCCCTCTCTCTCTCTATCTCTCTTCCTCTCTCAATTCTCACCAATACACACATTCCAACGCGCTGCATACCACTCTCCCATCTTATGCTCGTTCTTATGCTCTTGCTGTTGCCATTGCTCTCCATCTCATCTCTCGCATGCAGAGTGCGAGTGTTTTGGATAAAACATGTATTCTCACTTGAAACACTAAGCACTAGGCGTACAAGATGAATGCAGAAAAACAACGGGATAAGTAGAAGAAAATCTAAATTGTTGTTGAGTGGTGTGTTGCAGTGATTTTGTATGGAAGGCGTAAGCAACAGCAACAGCAATTGCAACCAATATAAATACGTATTCACTGCTCTCAGATACATTATAAATATCAGAAATGCAAGTATTTTGATGCAACTGTTTGCGAATAAACAGGCAGCGCGCATTACAACGTGAAAGGAAGATAAACGTTCGAGACGCATTGACCACAACAGAAAACTACATGTTTCGCAATTAATTCTAGGAGAGAACAATAAACATTGACTATGAAGATTTAAAGCGGGACTATGTGGCCAAACTACTAATCAGACTTCGAAGAAGAAAATTCTAGTTTTTTTTCTTTCTTTTCTGCTATGGCAATGTTGCTTTGTTTACAATGTTTGCATTGAAAAGAAGCGAAAGGGCATTTTATTCTTCTCTCTTTCTCTGCCTCTATCACGCTCTTTGTCTTGCTGCTTTGTCTTTGCATTTGCATCTTGGGCACCATTTATTTCGTAACATTTTAATCGAAAATACTCTTGAGATTTCTGATTATTGTTTACACTTTCTGCAACGTATGACATTCCGTAGAACCCAAAGTGGGTAGACTAAGGAAAACAAAAACCGAAAGTCTTCTACTTTTGCATCAAATTGAGTTTATTCTAAACATAATGTCACCGTAGATGTGAAACTGTTTGGAGAATTGCCATGCATTGTTTTCAACTTGGATATGTTTGTTGTTTTTGTTGATGTCGCATAGAAGAAAAAAGAAACAACCACACTATAAACATGCTGGAAACTGTACACAAGCTTTGTTTTTCGTATGGTTAATAGAACAACCGTCCACACAATTTTTTTTTGTGTGAGATTTTATTTTCGGTCGTAGATAGAAATATCATAGTCCCGATTGTGTACGAGTGCACGATTTTTTTCCCATTGACCATAGGCGTATATTACGACAGAGATATTGTTTTTTTTTTTTTAGTTTTCGATTGTTTTCGTAAGTTGCATATCAGAATTGTATCTAGTGCACAATTAACACACACACACACATACCATAAACACGATAAGAATTTGTTTGTGCCAAGATTTTGTTGGTTTCTTCTCCAAAATGTATTTATATATTCTTCGTATCGTCTGTGGTGTGTGTACGCGCGCGTTAATACGTTTCAGACCAGCAATGTTTCATGTTCGAAGATACATGCTTTTTGGAATGCGAGTTGATATCGTCGATGATGTTCAATGTTGAACATCAAACATAATTCGATGCATGCTGATCGAAATTCAAGCAAACCATCAATTGATAATTGAATGAATAGATCGAGAAATCGAAAACTTTAATTGGTCCCATTAAGAATTTCAATATAATCGATGTGAAGAGGCAGCGAGGGAGAGATAGAGAGAGATAGAGAGAGAGAGAGAGAGAGAGAGAGAGAGAGAGAGTAAGGCAGAAGAGAGCTCTTTCTCGTCTCTGTAGGGATATTTATCGCATGAGTACACAATCAAAACTTAAGCCGAAATAATCAATACAAGCACGCACTGAAGATTATAAACGAAACGAGATGTTGTTATTGCTGTTATTTTTTCGTGACTTTGTTCCCGATAAATTGGAATTTGACGGACCCCTTTAAGTTTCATTCATGCTTGCCGCGCTAAAATCAAATATTTTGCTTATAAGCTTCATACACAGAGACTGTGCTTATTTGGTTGGCAGAATGCGAGCCGCGACTATGTTAACACGTAAAATTAAGACACAAAATATGCCAACCTCATTGGCACATCGGTACAAATCATCCACGACGATTGTTGGCCTTTTTGCGAACTTTTTTTAGTCATTTTTGTGATTCTATGTCGTTGTTGTTTGTTTAATTCTTTCTTGCGTTCAACACAAACGCGAGATTCCAGAACATAAAATTTGTTTTCTTTTGAATTCATTAAATTGCTATTTTTTTCCGTTGACATCAATTCAACACAGCACCGCAGCCGAGATTTTTTTTTGTCTCCTTCGCTCGTTTTTTTTCTTTGATTTTAATCGCGGTTATTTCTTATAACTTCTTAATAACAAAAAAAAAATAAAATGCTTTCGTTACTCTGTTTCACAAACGAACCATTTTCCAGACTTGTCTTGGTCACACTCTCTGGCGCGCGCTCAATCTTTGTCTGGCTATTTTGCACACACAAATAATTCACACAAAAGAATCATTAAAAACGACTAGTTTCTATTTCTATAGAAACGAACTCTTTGTTACTGTTGGCTTGTTTTATTCATTTGTTTCTTTTACATTGATTTCCCAGTAGTTCGCCTTTGTGTTTTTATTTAATTGCACTTAATAAATAAACCGAAATCAACGTTTTGCATTCTAGGTTTGATTTGATGTTTTCTTTTTGTTCGTTTGCAAAAAAAAAATTAACAAAACAAATTTGAATCGATACTTTTTTTGTTGTCGTCAAAAGAAAAACCTCATGCATACCAGTGTACAACACACAACAAGCCTCACTACAAATTGATAGGAACTTGATTTTAAGAGGAAGAGGGAAACAACACACAAAATCTTTGGACTTAGTTTACTTATCGAAATTCAACAGATAGATTTTTGTTGTTGTTGTTGTTTTAAATAATACAGAAAAAAAATTGCTTAGTCCATACACTCACTAGAATCTTTCTCTCCTGTATTTGATTTGGTTTTTTTTATTCGTTTCAAAAACTAAGTCTATTTTTTTTATTCAATGAATATACATTTGTGTATGCGTATTCCCAAGACGAATGAACTGAAAGAATGAAGAGTAAGAAGTAAAAAAAAATAGCAGCTCATTCACATACACGGACACACACCGAAATCACATACGAATAAAGAATGACTTTTTTGTCCACTGAAGTTTGCCTTTTCCGTTCGCGTTGCAATTAATACACACAGTCACAAAAATGCTTTTAAAAACATATTTCTCTTTTGATGATACAGACAGATAGATAGTTTTTTTGTTGTTGTTGTTGAAATACATAAAACAAGGAATTTAAAAAAACCACACTCTACCAAAACGGATATGTGATAAAAGTTGCACTGTTTGATTTGCTGTTTCGATTTTCCAAATAAATAAAACAATGGAAGCAAAAAAAATGATAGAATTTATTTATACAAATATGAAATATGTTTAGTATGTTGTTTTTATTTCCAACTCTACGTTCACTCCCGTCGTCTTGTCGTGCGAGAGAGTTTATGCTGATGTATGCGTATACGCCATGTAAAAATGGAGAATTTTTTTCGGCCTGTTTCTTTTTCGTTTACATTGTGTGCGTGTGTGCTAGTGTGTATATGTGTATTGTTTTATATATATGACGGTTGTTGTTGCTGCTGCTGGTACTGCCTGCTTGCCTGCCACTCTATAACGCGTTGCACGTACGTATGTGTTTGTGTGCCATCCATAGTTAGCATTGAACGTATTTTCTCCTTTTCTGCGTGACTATCGACGTTTTTTTTTCTCTCTCGTATGGTAGGTGCAAACAAACACACCAACACATCGTCACGATTCATGCTGGCACACACTGAACGCGCTCTCTCGTGACAATTTATTGCATTCCATCGAATCGTACGCATGGCAACACATTCACGTTGTTTTTATTTTGATCAATGGCGAAGCAGCACACAGCTGCACTTTGCTTACCTATGTTTTGGCATTTTCGTGGTTTCGTTTCGGAGTTACCCGATTGTTTTTTTTTCTTCGGTGGAATGCTTTCAGGGGTCGATTATAGATGGAACCAGTGGTTTTAACACACAACATCCACAGATAAATTCAAATGGATTCGGAATTGTTATGAATTTATTTCATTCATAAGTTTATTCATTTTTCTCCGAACCAATTTTCATCAATAGGATTTGGAATACTGAAAACGGTGCATAATCTAGTTTTGCTCGCAATTTGACTTGATTTCTGAATCCTGTTTTGATTCACGCAAGATTCCGTCAATGAATTCTTTTCTCCGTAGAAAATTCGAAACAATATGGAAAATGAATACGAACCGAAATTTAAATATTTCACCTTTTCAATTTAGGCAATAAAGTGTGGGTCATTTCGGATCATTTTTCGGTGGAGTAAAACATTTGACGTAAACATTATTTAAACGGATTGATTTATGTAATACAAGACATTTGACATGGAAAATTAAACGCTTATTTTTAATATAATTTTTTTGAGTAATGACTACCCAAGGAACAATTGTTAACGCAAATACATCCATTGCCAAGCGTATGTAAACGGTTGAATTTGGGCCCACATTTGGGTGTAGTTTCAGTCATTTTTAACGTCACAATGGAAGTAGAAAAAGAACAGTAAAAACAAATCAATTAGAATGATGTAAAAACGATTATGAATCAATATTCAATATGCTAATGAATAGTGATACTCACCTACGAGGTATTTTATATGATCCGACTAAGCCCCGTACTTCGGACAAGGCCACAATACTCAAAGCCCAGCAAAGTAACAAAACGTTACAATTATTATTGTTTGAAAACTTAATCCTACATCAACTAAAAACTATTCTTCATCGGACACGTCGCCGAGAACGTAAACGTAATCATCGTCGCTGTCGCTATCGTTGTCATCTTGGTTGCCTTCGGCATTGTTCTGCGCGGCTGCAGCTGCTGCATGATGTTGTCTCGACAGTTGCGGATGCACAGCCAAGCCCTTTATCATACAAAGACCTGAAACAACCGAAATCACAAACAACAATTGTTAGCCAGAATATTTCACCTTTTTTTTTCAATGTATGATACATACCTTTGTACAATATGCACTTGGCAGCGACTTCATCCCGATGCCAAACAGTGTTCTGTTGATGTGGATGACGTGAATCGTTCCATGTGTTATCAGTGTTTAGCTGCCAGTTTTTGAACCATACATTGAGTTTCGGCACTAAACCATGTGAATACACTGGATGTACATTCAATCGTTCATATTCCGCAACAACATGTCGTCGCTCTCGTTGATACGACCGGTTGCTTTTCTTGCTGATGATCACACTGCTCAGGTGTTTGTCAGTCGTGATGTTTGCTGCATGTGGAATGCACTGACGGCAGACTTTGTAGCGGTCCTTTTTTGTACGTCGATCAAATGGCCGAAAGCACTTTGCACACGTCTGCGATGTTTTGTACTCGTCAACCATCACCACCACACAATTGTGCAGTTTCTTGAAGCTGTTCAGTAGTTTCCGTACACCAGGGCACCGCAACCGTTTCTTAATACCAATTGGCGAATTTGGAGCCATTTGAGCTGCACCAAGGAAAATGAGCGATGGCAATTTTCTGGTCAAAAAAGCAGCGATGGTATCACTTGCACGGGTCTCCTCGATATGTTTATCGAGATTGAGGCGAATGTATTTGCGTGCTGTGTAAACCTCCATTCCAGGCTGCAACATTTTCACACGATGTTCGATGTAACTCATCCAATTTGAGGCTCCCTTGGGCGATGGATAGAATGGATATTGATTTCGGTCATGTTGCTCCAATTCGGTGAACAATCGTAGCCATTTTTCCGATTTGCGCTTTCGTTTGCCATATTTCGCTCGAAAATGGTATTTCGGACCGTCGATCGTGATGTTTTCCTGTGTGAAATAAATAAGAACAAAGAATCATGATTATATGCATATAAAAGAAATGACTGACAAAACAAACAAACAAATCAAAAAAGAAAAATAAGAAAAAAGAACAAAGAATCATGATTATATGCATATAAATGAAATGACTGACAAAACAAACAAACAAATCATTGTTACTCACTTCCACACCGGATGCGATATGTTTTCGCACCGTGGCATTCCAGGTTCGCACACCAGGATCCATGCCAAGCACGAAGCGGAAAACACCATTTTCGTACATTTCGTTGATTTGCTCGTGCGAATATTCGTGTGAGGGGCATTCTGGCTTCAGGAAACACAACGAAACAGCCACACTATCCGTCACGATTGTGTAGTCAAATGTCTTGCGATTGCCGACTTTCTGAATCTTGTCCATGTTGAATATTGTGTCCCAGGACACAAATGGATTGCTGTCGTAGACCTTTTTCGAAATGTTCACCGGCTGGCCAAACAATCCTTTTGCCAACTTGATGGCACCCAATTTGCACGCCATTTGATAGAACAGATGAATATCGGAATTACACGAAAGTTTTTTATTTTCGGTGGGCGTGCAATGGATGGCATGGCGTTGTGTAATCGATCCCGATAATATCGGCGCCAGAGATCATTCAAGAGCTCGTATCTTTCATGGTGGTTGAACACTAGCCGTTGAATGGTGATGAATATCGGTATTGTCTGGAACCAACTACCACGGACGAGATCACACAACTTCGTACCGACTGGTATTCCGATCATACGCGCTTGCTCGAGCAGCCGCTCCACATTCGCACTTGGCACTATGTTGTTGAACATAACTGCTTTGGTGGCATTTTTCACATCGATGTCGCTGATGTTATGGCCAAGCAAATTGAGCTCATACCGTTGCAGCACGAAAAACGTTTTGATACGGGTGTAGCACCACGTTTTGATGTTGTTCTTGACATTGGTGGTATATTGATCAATAAGCTGATTGAATGCGTTTCCCATGCCTTCACGTTGTGGCCATCGGAAGTTTGGCACTGCTGCTTCGATTATTTGGCGGAAGGCCAACGGCAATTTGTGTCGGTTCTCGTTCAAAATGTTATTGAAGCAATCCTTGATCAATTCGTATCCATTGCCTCTGAAGAAGTCATGGTTATCTTCATCGAATGCTCGGTTGTTCTCGAAGAGAAACAACAATGACGCCAAAACGGTGATGACGGTGGCTGTGTGGCACCAATTGGTGACTTGTGCCACAAAATTCGCGCGATATTGATCCCGGAGAACCGAATTCAGCGATAGTTTGACCGATCTCGGTCGCCCGTTCTGGGCCCGCTTTCTCTTCATGCTCACCAAATTTGATCTAATGAAAATGAAAATGAAAATGGTGAACAAATTGATTAGAATTATTGCACTTTCGATCAAACACTGACTAAATTAACAATTTGTTTTGGAGAAACAATCAATGAACCATCAATACAACAATCAACTTGCCTCAACGAATTCTGACACCAAACTGACCATGCAATGCTGAATTTCGAATATTGTGCTCTTGTCGTTTTGCAAATGTCCTGTTAGTCAAAAATCACAACCGAATTAAATGCAAAACTAATACAACAGCACAATCCAGAAAAATGTGTTGATGAACACTCAAAATCTCGTCTGAATTCGACTCAAAGTAAACATCGGTATGAAATTCAGAACACAAAAACTGCATTGTTCCTCACGCAGCAACAGTAAGAGCTGTCAATTCGATTCTAATGGATTCGATCGCCACAGTCACACTTCGATTTGTTATGAAAATATTCTTGCCTCAACGAATTCCGACACCAAACTGCCAATGCTATGCTGAATTTCGAATATTGTGCTCTTGTCGTTGTGCAAATGTCCTGTTAGTCAGAAATCACAACCGAATCAAATGCAAAACTAATACAACAGCACAATCCAGTAAAATGTGTTGACGAACACTCAAAATCTCGTTTGAATTCGACTCAAAATAGATATTTTGCATCGTTATGAAATTCAGAACACAAAAACTGCACTGTTCTTCACGCAGAAACAGTGAGAGCTGTCAATTCGATCGCCACAGTCAGACTTCGATTTGTTATGAAAATATTCTTGCTCCAGCACACACACAAGAATGAAACGAACGAAGCGGAGAAGCAACAGAGGATACACGAGAGCAACAGTACACATAGCTATGTTACTTGATTGTTCTTTCTGTATGCGGTTCATTCTCACATTCTTTCTTTCGTGTTTGTATATCTGCGGTACGGTCTGTGTAGAATGGAGCGAGCATAATGTGAACCGTCCGTTATTTGTTACATTTTGAATAATATGCATTGCGTTAAAATATTTCATTGGAAGGTGTCATTTTATTGGGAACCATGCACATAATCCACGTTAAATATAACACTGAAATTATCACGAAAATGGGCCAAAACGTTACATTACGCGATGGTGAAATCTACTGAAAATGGTTACATTTTTGTTCCTTGGGTATAGAAATAACGTCCAAATTCATGCTCTTTCTTTCTCTGCTCTCTTTCAGACTGCTCAATCAAATAAAAATACAACAAAAAACTGTTCGGAGAGACACTGTTATCGTCACTACTTCATTCATCAGCTTATAATCAATGGCAAAAACAACGATTTCATATGAAATTTCACCAACGTTTCGGAAAAAAAATGTTTTCTTATCTATCTCTTACACAAAAACGAATGAAGCAAACGAAGCCGAGACACTTAGCAACGGTATGATGTATCATATCGAAAGTGTAAGCAAACTTTTCGCCGGTTATGCTATTTCTACAACTTTCCAGGATCTTCCAGCTACTTCCACGTCTTCGCCAAGTATAAATTTCCTCTCCATAACCAGTTTAGAGGGTAATTCCTCCGTCCCCATTTGGATGGTACGAACAGTCCATTCCCATCTCTCCAAAGACATTTGCTCTCCAATTTTCATGAAACCCTGGCAATACTTGCCCAATTTAACTACCATGCCCTTATCATCACCGTTTTCGTACTTCAATACCACACAAACTTGAGCCTCATCAGTAGAAGGAACATCCTTATCATCCCAAACTTCCTCATAAGCAGTGACAATGCCCGTATCAGGATTCACCATGTGACCCTTTTATGTATGTTTTGAAATGTATGTTTTGACATGTAAAAATGAAAAATAATAAAAAGAAAACTATACAAATTTGCACGTTAAGTTTTTTACAATCGCTTTTGCGGTTTGATGTTTCCGCACAAGGCGTCCATATCAGGATGGTCTTTGTATAAATACGTAATTGTGATCCAAAAAAAAAAACACCTTTTCTATTGTGGTTCCATCCGGCTGGGGGTACATGTCACCTTCGTCAGTAGCATTTTCTGGTGTAGATGTGCGTGAATCAATCCAGTGAACAAATTGAGAGCGAGAAACTTGTTTTCCATCTATTGTGCAAGTAGTAGAAGAGGATGTTCCTGCTATGGCCCAGTCGAGCCTGGAAAATGGAAGGTTTTCACCTAAGAAAATAAAAATGGTGATTAGCTAGCGAGAGGTCCATGGTGCCATTGAATTGTGCGGTGAAATACCTTCAATGCTACCGTTCTCGTCCTTCAAAATACGTAAATCGACGAACTGCCTCTGCGGGGAAGTCAAAACAATCGTGGAGGTAGGCTCACTCGCTACGTCCGGCAGCCACCGAACTGATTTACGAACTGAAATGAATCCACACATTTTGTAGATTTACAATTCTTATAAATTCAATCAAATTTAAAACTGTTTAATTAATCACTAAATGTTGAACGAGTCTTTCTACAATAATTGAGAAATTAAATCGAAACACATCAACAGACACAGTGAGCTGCTGAACAATGAATTATTTTTGACAGATAAATGCAAAAAGTATAGCGAGCGAATGGGAGAATTACCATTAGAGTGTCTTATATACTTTATAATCGCCTGTGCTATCAGCAACGCTTTCAGTCAACTAAAAACGAAACGAAAATTTAGTGATAACGTTGGTGATAATACCAGTTATCAGAATGCAGTGTAAATTATTTCGAAAAGTTGCAAATAACGCAATAGAGATCAGCTGATATATTCGGCTGTTGCGGATAACGTTGCGCTGCCGTTTGAAACAATTGGGAATTTGTGGTCATTTGGTTTCGCCTGAAAGTGTTCAAATCCGCACCTTTGATAACAATCTGACGTAAGCTTGATGCGTAGTACACTACATTCACTACATTCATTCAGATGCAGACAAATCTTCTAGAAGAAAACGATTTTTGTGCAAAAAAGAAATATTTGAGAATGTAAAAACCGTATAAACTATTGTTGAAAGTGTTCTTCGTAACGGATGATTCTCCGATGCCTTTGTTTGCCGCTCTATGCATTTGAATTTTTTTACATTTTTTTCTATTTCTGAATTATCGGCGCCAGGACGCTGTTTGGTGCTCGTACCCTTGTGCAATGGTAAGGTACCAGAAAGTCCCTGACTTTATACATGCCACAGTTTCAATTTGTATATTTTTGACATCAAGGAAGAGAAAGAGAGATGTGGGGACAATCGATGCATCGTTGCATAAATGTACATAGACGTTGGTTGGAAGCTGATTGCAGCTTTCTTTGCCAATCTGAATCAATTATCATGTGCACAACTAACTAAAATACTTTTTCTTTGAATGTTTTAGCTATTTTGGGTTTATCGCAAACTGACTAACGACATAAGAAAACAGCAGAATTCATATTGTAGCTAGTTAGACACGTTCCATTATGAATGGCTGAGTTTTTAATTACGCAAATATAGTAATTAATGGAGGCAGAAATATTATTGAAATTAGAAATGCACTAATTTATAACTCACCAATTTGATATGAACTTGATTCGAGAAAAAAAAATCGAAAATTCTGGCATTGATTTGTTTCACACATTGGCACATTTACACCAAATAATTTTGATAATACATTGAATTGTCGCATAGTATGAGTATCAAAGACCGAGTATAGTTCTGAGCAAAGAACAGAGCTTGTCTCAAAAGGATTAGAAAAAAACCATATCATTTTCGAACAGACTCGGTTCGATTAACAAAATGAATTTAAAAATATTTACTTTATTTTCAGTCGTGATATTGGCATTATTTTCATATACGGAGGCAGAAAGTATGTTTTAACAAGGAAAATGTATCAATTTTTTATTCAGAAATATGTTTACTTCTATTTTGAATTTTATAGCAAACGTTTGCTTGGCTTGGATATGTTCGACTGGCTGTAAATTGAAGGGATTGGAAGATGGTGCATGTAAAGCTGGTAAATGTATTTGTAGCGATCCTCCTAAATAAGTTTGCTTTTTGAAAGTGATTTCATTCAAATTTATTTGAGCTAGTTTCGACAGATTCACAAGTCCGAGCTTTTTCGGTTTCATTCAATATTGTTGAAAATGATATTCCAATAAAATAGATTTGAAAATATTTGCTCTACCTGTAGAGCTTGTGTTAGTGTTTATTTCAGCATATTCACACATCTATCCATAGGTGAAGGTGGGGCTGATTCGGCCACTTAACATCCTAACGAGACACATTGACGTCGTATGTCAACAAACACATTTGACAGAGTCAGCATTGGGTTTTTGTGCCAAATTTTGGATTTTTTGAGCAACTTTTTGTCGATGTTTTTTGACTTTCCATATAATGAGGATTTTTGGAAATTTTCCATGATATATTTTATGGGAATATGGCTTCTATTGCGCTCCATAGATATTCGATGTGAAAGAAAAATAAATAATATACAGGAGCTTCGAAAGGCATTTTGGCTCCCAGTACATGAAGAACTGTGGTGTCTTTTTGCATTTTTTCCTTTTAAAAAGATCATACCTACATTTAAAAACTAAACCTACCTAAAATCGGGAGTTACTTGATCATATCGATCAATCTAAAATACTATGCATTATGAATCATTCAAAGATTTAGAAGCCAGTCTTGTAATAGCCGACCGATAACCAATTCATGATTCCTACGAACGGAGTGAGTCGATTTTTTCTCTCCGTAAAACGATTGTTAGTCTTTTATCTTTACATTCCTCTTTCTTTTGTTTTTGAGCCTCAAACACTATTATGAGCACAGCGATGTATTTTGTCACTAAAACATACAAAAATATTTAAACTTATACTTTTGACAACAATCTGACGTAAGCTTGATGTGCATTGCACCCAAATTTTCCGGGGGGGATAGACACGAACTGTATACAGTATACTAACACTAAAAACACTAATCCCGCTATTCCACTAATCCACGAATTACACTAACAAAACAAACCATACGAAGAAGATTCGCACAAAGCGGACGACAAAACGTGTCTACCCCTTCGCAATTTTCTCTACTTATTCTTTGTCAAATGATGCTCAGAATTAACATTCATTTAACTGCAAATAACCGTCTAAAGACGAAGGATTCTTGTCCAAAAAAGAAATGTTTGAAAATGTAAAAACCGTGTAACAGTAGTTGAAAATGATCTTCGTAACTAACGATTCTTTTATTTTCCGCTCTATGAATTTGAATCTTTTTCTACATTTTTCTTTATTTCTGAATTTCTGAATTTTCGGCAGCAGGGGAATTTTCGGGCATATTTGACATCAAAGGAGAGAAAAAGAGGGATGTCGGATGTGAGGGCCATCGATGCATCGTTGATAAATGTACCTATACATACACGTTGGTTGAAAGCTGATTGGAGCTTTCTCTGCTGATTTGAACTAATTATCATATGCAGGACTAACTAAAATACTTTTTCTTTTCATATTTTAGCTACTTAAGGCTTATCGGAATCTGACTAACCGTGTTATAAAACGGTAGAATTCATATTGTAGCCAGTTAGACACGTTCCATTATACATGGTTGAGTTTTTAATTACGAAATTTCGAAAATTCTATCATTGATTTGTTCCACACATTAGCACATGTATAGTATGGGTATAAAAGACCGAGCATCGTTCTGAACAAAGAACAGAGCTTATTTCAAAAGGGTTAGAAAAAACACCAGATCATTTTTGCACAGATTCGGTTGGATTTACAAAATGAATTTCAAAGTACTTACTTTATTTGCCGTCGTGATATTGGCATATTTTTCGTATACGGAGGCAGAAAGTATGTTTTAACAAGGAAAATGTGCTATTTCTTATTTATAAATAATTCTACTTTCATTTTGAATTTTATAGCGAGGATGTGCTTAGATTGGGCATGCTCGGCTGGTTGTAAATTGAGGGATTGGGACGAAGGCTCATGTAAAACTGGTAATTGTACATGCTCCGATCGAGACAGAAAAACATCCATTATTATACCCAACCCTAAATAAATCCGCTTTTTAAAAGTGATTTCATTAAATTTTAATCGAAGTTATTTCGATAGATTTCCAAGTCTGAGCCTTTTCGGTTTCATTCAATATTGTTGAAAATGATGGTCCAATAAAATAGCTTTGAAAGTATTTACTCTACCTGTAGAGCTTGTGTTAGTGTTTATTTCAGCATAGATACACATCTATCTATAGGTGGGGTTGGTTCGGTCACTTAACATCTTAACAAGACCCATTGACGTTGTATGTCAACAAACACATTTGATCGAGTTAGTTTTGGGTTTTTTGTGCAACTTTTTGTCAATTTCGGACGTTTTTTGAGTCTGTTTTTTGACTTTCCATATAATTAGGATTTTTGGAAAGGCTCTCTGAAATTGCCTATGTTGCTTTTGCCTAAAACGTCAACCTCATTAGCAGCATTGACGTTCTACTGACTTAAAAGCATTGAAATGTCAATTGCTTTGACGTTCTAGGCACAAATTTCCGAGAGCCTTTTCCATGATATATTTTATGGGAATTTCAGCGGATTTTTCCGCTATCATTGCGATCTTGTGCAGTATAGAGCTTGCGTTAGTGATGATTTTTGAGCGAGTAAAACTGGAAAATAATCGTTATTGATAGCATAGCACTATGGCGTTGACTGCGATTTAGAGCAAATTTGTGAACATTTTTACAGCCTCTGCATTTGCACACCGCATACCACCCGTTTACTGTCAAATTTTGAACAATTGAAGAGCGCCGTGGATTTCGTACGGCGAAATTCAGTACTAATTGGTGTGATTTCGTGGTCAGAAGGTGGAGGTGGGGTAGAATGGGGTTGTTTTCATGAAATTGAAATGTCCAGCTAGTAAAAAGGATTTTTTGCCACAATTTTTATAGTTCAAATTTATCTCGGAAGTGATTTAGTCGGTTTCATTGAAAATGCAGCACACCCCAAATCTCCGATGAGAGGAGAAGGTCACCCTAATATTGTGGCCGTGAGAGTTTTTGGTGAAACCAAGTTTATACACCAAATATATGCGAAATCAGAGACCCGATTTTCAAAAATGGTAATCACTCTGTGATTTATATTTACTATTTCCTCTTTCGTTCCTCTTTATCATTTCAGTGTTTTAAACGTTTTGAATTTGTTCAAACAAACTTGGAGAAATATCGGTTCCATGTCACATCTAATGATGAGAAAAAGATAAAAAAACGAAATTCATATAATTCGATTGTTTTACAAATGTTTTTTAATGTTTTCTTGGTCCAATCAAATCTTGATTCAAATTGCAAAACATCGAACAACATAATTGCTTTTCTCGCTCGAACAACAACTGAATCAAAGCGTGGAATTTTACTGGTCTTTTTTTTTGTCAAAACGGATGTTCTCTTACACAATTGATGACTATCATTTGATTTGATTTTCTGGAATGGAAGTTGTTCGATATTATCACTTTAATAGATATTTCAGTGAGGACCGAGAGATCGATACACATATTTTACAAAATGGCGAGCTAATACAATTTTTATAACATCGCATCAACTGAAATTGTATACAATGAAAGCATTCGACTTTGTATGGAACATGTACCTTTTTAGCTTAGATTCTCTAAATTTTGCTTAAAACTCACACATCAGTGCTTACAGCAAACTATAATAAGATATTTTTCTATACGAAAAATAAAGGTTATTTGTCCTGTTTTGACAATATGTTTTGAAAGACTAAATCATTGCCACATTAAATTTACGACGCAACAATCGTATTAACGTATTAATGTAACAGATTGTATCGTGTGTCTTGTCTCAATGTCCATTGTCTCTCTAATCATAATCAATTGGTTCAAATTGTTGAAAAATTGCCGTGAAAATGAAGAGTTGAGGTTTTACATGTTACTAAAAATATTTTTTGTTGTTGGCTTCGAACCATTTCACCCTACGCCACATTTGCATTTCTTTTGAATTTAACCTGCCTGAAATGGACGGAATTTCACAAATGGCATTTAACTTTATTCCGATTTAACAAATTTTGCGTTCTAAATCAAAATGCATGACATGCGTAGGATATGAAATTCTGAAAGTGACTTCTAATTTAAACTTCGCATTTGAATTCTCTGCACAAACTCTTGCAAAATAACATAATACTGAAGGGGATTTTTTGGTGTAACAACAAAAAAAAACAAACTAGTTCGCAGAAAGCCGATCAAAAATGACTGATTAATTATGTGCTATTGAAAAGAGCTATCATTCAGAACAGTACTGAAAATCGGCAATGTAGGAGCAGACATCGAAGAGTAATAAAGAACAATAAGTTCTAAACCAGTTACTACGATTTTGGCCTTCAGTTGTTGTGTCTTTCCGTGCAATGACTCACACATTCAATGTTAATTCTCGCAAAAGAGGAACAAAAATTAGTGTTAAATGACAGTCTTTCAATCTCATTAGCCGATTACGTCGGAAGAAAAAAAAAACGACTTACAATCACATGTGTTCATTCAAAATAATAAGCTGCAATTTCAGCGTCTTATTTTTAGTATCGCCATTGGGTTTTTTGATGAATTGTTTTGCAATTCGCACAAGTACGTTTTTTTTCATCGTGAAGATCAAAAACGATCTGAAAGACAAAGTCTAATAGGTGTGAAAGCAAACACAAACTCGGCTTAGAATAAAGGTGTGATAGTCAATTGAATCAGGTGCTGAGATTTCTTTGAAATGGTGTTTTTTTTTCTTCAATGTGTGAACTATATCAAATGAATGGAAATTTCAATATTTGCCCAGTGCTATGTGGCTGGGTGTCAGTTGAAATTATGACTACTGCATTCACGTATGATTTGAAACCGTTTTTTGTTTTGCATATATTTTTCTGCAATTCATCTTTGAGGCGAACTCAATTTTTATTGTTTATAAATGATGCCATTTTTCTGATGAAATTACTTTCTTGACCTTTCATTTCTCTCTTTACTGCATATCTTTTACTGTGTGTGTATTGAAATCGGCATCGCTTTCGTTCATGGCATTTTTCTTGCACGTCAATTTGCCGCAAAAAAAACTTTCTACTCAAAACAAGAACAGATGAAATGTATTCGACTCTGGGAATCATAAAACACTCTTTCTTTTCGTTGTAAACTAGATTAAATTTTTAAAATCCAAATATAGGTTTGTATGGCTATTGCAAAATTGTATTTATCGATTAAATTGCAAAGTTAATTTCGGTTTGATGCTTCATCCCGATATTAACATTCGAGGCAGTGGCACATGGTCACTAACAGAAAAAACCCATTAAACATTTATAGTTTTATCTGTGGTCTACAGTTAAATTATTTTTGTTGTTTGCTGATGTTTTTGATAATGTATAATATTTGTTTGTTGTACGCGTAGGTACCATGTACGTGTCCTTTTCCAAAATGATAATTTAAAAAAAAAGATTAACAAATTCAAAGCCGCCGAATTTCGGCAAATTTTTTGCGTGGTCATTTTTTTTACAGATGAGTTAACCGTATTGAGCGTATAACAATAGTTCGGCCACTGAACAAATCAACAATCGATCATTTCACACATGCATTTATTTGTCGTTTAAATTAACGTCCATGTTAAAAGAGTCAGTCGGAATTCTGTGAACGTGGGCAGACAATGAAAATTTATCGTTACAAGGGTAATTTAGCTTAGTCAGATTGGTAATGTACAGCGGCTGCGGTGACGGCGACGTTGGTGTACCACTTTTATGAATGCATCGCTAGATATTAAAAGGTTTTGCGGTTCAAACAGCGCTATTATTTGTGTGTAATCAATGAATTTTGGAAATAAAATTCGCAACAAATTGGCACCAATTATGCTTTACTATATTTTTAGGCCGAACAACTTACTCCAATTATTCTACACGTTTCGTTAGTTGTTCGTTTCATCTTTTGCGATTGAAAATTGCCAATCGTGCAAAAAGAAGCATGCACCATTTGTACGAAGTCATTCGAAGTCATTCGGTTAACGTTGGAGGCTATTCGAAGACTATGTGATTTAGATGTAGAAAAAAATCGAAAAGGAAACCGTTTAAAAAGTTTCATTGCATGCAAATTTGAATTTTGATCGCGCATTCACAGTGTTTCTTCTTATTCTTCAACGTATATAAATAGAGATCACAATCATTTGCGCAAATCTAATGGTCTTGTCGAAGTGAAGTGGAGAAGAAACAATACCTGAAAATGCTCTTCAATGACAATAAAATGTAAATTTATTGACCCACAACCAAACACAAGAATGGCCACATAACATCGTCATCATCATCATCGTCATTGCTTAACATTTGAAGAAAGAGAGAGAGAGAGAGAGAGAGAGAGAGAAAAAAAAACAACGGCCGAATGATATTCTTGGCGATTTCGTGGTAAAACATTCAATGTAAATTCGCGCTAAATTACAGTAACAATATGTATAAGTTGTATATATCTGTCTTCAAAAACGACCGAAAAAATTAACAACGATATATACACACAGCGACAGCGAGACAGCAACAAAAAGAAGAGAAAAAAAAACAGTCTATTTAAATAAAAAAATAACGTAATGCACGGTGTTACCTCAAATTTGTCATTGACTTTCTTAACACGTAGAAGGCTGCAGAGACTGACCATATCGCATGTAGTTTATGTTGTTTTTAGTTGTATATTCTGATTTGGATTTACCCAGAAAATTGGACGAGTCAAAGGCAGCGCAGAGTGCGGTGCAAAATGCGAGAGAATTAATAGCAAAAGCAAAAGTTACCAAAAGAAATACACACAAATTTGACACATACACTCATTTTGTAGGCAGTGAACCATTGTTTTTTTTCTTCTGCCACTGCCTTGTAGGTATGCCGAAAATGCAATCGGCCTTTTTGTTATGCCTAGTCGTGTTTTTGTTTTTCGCAAACAAGGGAAAAATTAGTGAAAACAATGCAATTTTTTACAGTATGGAATATGTTTTTACTCTCGTGTACCGTTTTCGAGTGCGATTAGCGTGCACCGCTAGAGAATACAGTTCGACGCCTGCGCAAGATCATTAATTTAGCAAACAATTCTGAGAGCGGTTGGCACGCATTTCGGTGTGTCATTTTCCCAGTTTATGATTCCTTTTTCCATATTCATTTGAAACATATTCATTTCGTTTCTTTCGACTTTACTTTCACTTCGATATGCTTGACGACTGAAATGAACTTGCATACACTAGATTTGGGTTCATACCTCCGTGTAATGCTCTAATGTCGAGGTTTCAATGTCAATTTTGTACTACCAAATTTCTGCAAAACGTGTGTATTTTATACGATTGTCAAGCGTCAGTGCTGCTCGAATGCGAATTTAGATGGGCGAAGATGAAAATGCTTTTCCGCCTCTTAATTAGGGGGTTAAATTCAACTGAGGATGATTAATTCGTGCGCGCAAAAAAAAGTGTGCTCTTGCACGTAGAATCATAGGGCTTGAAATGTTAAATTACAAATGGCACTTGGCATTTGAATCTGACACCGAAATCACTGAAATTTCGGTCCACAAGCATTCAAGCTCACAGTGTAGAGCGATTCCACTGAAATTGCCGTTTCTCCCACTTATTGAGCACTTCGGTTTTTCTACGCATTCACTGGCAAAGTCTCTCTCTCTCTCTGTGTGTGTGTGTGTGTGGATTGCTGATGCGATGATGCAGACAGAGAGCAATGTTTACAGCATTTTTTTTTTCTCTTGCTGTCTTTGCTTAGCATATTTATTTCAATTTATGTAATTTTTGGCTTATTTATTCGTTATTTTCCGTCCATTTCGTATGTTCGTTCGTCACTTTTCGGCTCATTTAATCGTCGCTGAAGAAATTTTCGACCCTCCGTGTGTATGCATGCGCGCACGCACACATACGCTAGCGTCTAAATTGTATCGAACGACACAGGCTATGGTTAAATCAACGAATAACACGCGCACGCTTCAACCGCGACCACTCTCAACACATGTGTGCCACCGCCGTTGCCGCGGCCACCACCGTCATCGCCGTAGCTGTCGCCTGATGAAAGCTCTGTACACAAAACCATTTAAATATAAATACAGGTGGCTTTTCATGTTTTGAATCATTCCAGTAAACACTTTCACTCGATTCACATCGGTCTCTATTTCTCGATAGTTCAAGTTCTTGTTGTTCTTGCCGGAACGTTATTTCATCGTCTAACGGATATTTCGATTCGATAAATTTTGGTTCGACGATCGTTGGAGAATCGTTTGTTTGGACACAACAAAAAAAAAACTACACATAAAAATGTCACCATTGAAAGCAACGATATTCTTGGCTGTTGGATTATGTTTGTTCGCCAACTACATTAACGCTGAAGAAGCCAAAAATAACGAGGATGACGAAAATGTAATCAAAATCTTCAAACGCCTCATTCCAGCTGACGTTCTCAGAGGTTTGTGCATTTTTTGATTCCAACATTTTTTTTCTCTAAAATTGGTGCACCATTTTCTTTTTGGGTAATGAATTGTGAGTAAGATCAGTTAGGTTTTGAATTTCCAGTACATTATAAGATTAGAAACTCTAATCGAAGTACAACAATTGAAAAAGGACAACCAATTAAAAGCGGTTTATTGTCGTAATAAACATCGTTGCTTTTGGATTGAAGACATTCTTTTCGAAAGAGAGAGAGAAACAATACGGCGATAGTGTGTGACCGAATAGCATTATATCGTGGGCTGTTTGTATTTTTCTGGACCGGACGATAGATTCACTAAAAGGAATTGTTCTTAATTTGTTATTTTTTCCGTTGTTGCGTTCAATTGAGCCACTTAATCAACATCAATTGTGTAATAAACGAAAAATGTGTGTTCGAATCGCCGTGCTAAGCCATGTGCCTCTAAGTAAAACTTCATCAATTCAATTTGATCATCATTTGAATCAGAAACGTTATCAGAATTTTCGAGAGACAAGTGCCAATGAATAGGAGGAGTAAACACATTGCTCTAATACGTAGCAAACACTTTAAGACGATTTGTTTATTTTGTTGTCATTGTTGGTGTTATAATAGTCATCAACTAATAACATTTTGTGGTGAGAAAGAAAAAATTCGCCATGGAAAGTTTTTTTTTTATTGGAAATTAAATAAAATTTATATCATTTGCAAGTCATGCATATTGTAATTCAAATCAAAGAGAATTGTATATGCTCAAGAGAGCATATATATTTATATATGCAGATATTGATTTCTAGTGAAATGAACATAGCAACAATGTTACATCACTCAATTTAATTGACAAATGCACATATATTTCAACTAAGTGAGAAAATTTCACGCAAAAAAATACATGCGCACAAACCGCAGCAGGAATATTGCATTTTTTTAAAACACATGTTTTATGCACACATATGAGAATGGTCAAGTGCTAGTTTTAATTTATTATTAACGATTTTTTTTGCCATAAAGTCTAGCCATAAATCTAGTCTGTGGCTGGTACACACGATTACAGCTCTCATGATAGCGGCTGACCTTGTGTGGTTCAATGGTGTGGCTTGCATATTCTGCACGAAAATCCAAGTGGATTTGGATCGAACGTGATCGCGTTCATGGATTTGATTCATTCAGATTAATTGAGTCGAACTAGAATCAAACTGGATTGAGAGAGTCGAGAATTTCATGCAATATATTTCTCAATTGATGGTGTTTCACCAGAGCTTATTTTTTCATCAAAACTCTTCGTATTTGTCAAAACGGTTCATTCGTGTTGTGAGTCATAACTTGTGACTTTGAAACTTGGACGAGTATCGGAAAAATTCAATTGTCGCCAAAGTAACCGTTAACACTCTAGACAAACGTACTGCATCACTAGCGTCACTTGTGGCCGTTTCAACATACTAACGACAAAAAAAACTGTCCACAAAACAGATGTCGAGTATTGTCTTTAGTTTTCGTCTTTGGTACCATTGTGACTTTTCGTAGTTGCAATAAATTACGCAACAAAGCCACTAAAATGTGGGTTAAAATGATATCCAAAATTGTTCAGCCGGAAAATTTCCATTATTTGTGTGGCTGTTTCATTTTTTTTTCTCCAAATTTGTGATTCATTCTGAATTCAAAGTACTAAAAGTGGCTAGCCGTTTTAATGTGAAATCCACAGCAGCGGCAGCCGCAACAGCAACAGTCAACATGTCAGAGAGAGATATATTAGCTCATTGTTGAAAATAAATTTAATTCAGATTTTCTATCTTGATGAAAGGCATTTTTTTATGCTCCATGAATTTTCAAAATAAATTGCCGTATTTCAATTGGCAAAACACACACACACAAATCCCATATATGTGTCATGCAAATCGGTATGCTGTGGATGGCAAATTGACTCTCTTGCCAGGCACACACCTTGAAAATTTATTTCAATATTTTTTGATGTATTGGCATCAACAGATGCAGTCAAATTGCATACATTTTCTTTAATAACTAATAAATTTGGTGCGGTTGCCTCTCGAATTTTAGGTGCAACAAAACGAGAAAGAGAAAAAAAAAATCAAATGAATAATCGAGTTAAATAAAGATTCCGAAACAATTGAGCGCAACTATAATTAGTTCAAGTAGACATAATGTGTTTTCAGTGGGGCATCGGAAATCATTCTTCATTTATTTTTTATTTGTTCGTTGTTGTTGTAGTTTTCACAGCATTTGTTCAAAGCCAAGTTTGTGCTTGAACCGAATCATAATTGTGATCATCTCAATATCATACATTTACACGCAATAATGCACCTTTTGTTTCGATAATAGGCAAAGCGTTTAAATTCGTGCGCGACCTATGTCTCTATCATCGGGCCTGCCGGCCATTCGATTTCAGTTTTAATTAGATGTTGCCAAAGCCTGAAAACCTGACTGAAAAATGGATCTCATTCGATAGTAAATCTTCAATAATGGGTGTAATTGCAAGATATTCAGATTGATGGATATTATCATTTGATTCAAATGTACGGGCGCGCTCGCGCACACATTCGAACTTTGAAGGTGGAAAAACCTGCTTGCATTGTGTTTTATTCGATTTTAAGCATGAGCTTAATTTATGTACTTATTGTTTAGCCCAAGTCAATTTGCATATAAACATTTAGTGATGGCGATGTGATTTTGGAGTGTGCTCTCCGGTTTATAATTCATAATGATAACGATCAGTAGGCGATTTACAAAAATTTCTACGGTTCCGATGCGATTGTAATGATATTTTCTGTATAGTGGAAGCTATCAGTGGTGTGTTGTCGGTCGTCATGTGTGTATTATTTATTTAAATAGCTGATTTTTGTCGGGTTTTAATGAGAGACGATTACACACCATTTCGGAGGCGCAAAATAAAACACGCTTCGTAGACAAAGGGCATTGGCAGTTTGGGCGGTGATTTAAAGCTTCACACAATCAACCTTATTTATCAAAGTCATGTCGTATACATATGTATATGTACGGATTGTTGTCGTACAATACAACGGATTCCTTAAATAGAAGGAACCAACAAACACACATGATTGCTACATCAAGACGAGTAAACAATTGAACAGTATGCACAGCACATAGCACAGCCAAATATTCTGTGATGACAACAATTGATCATACCGATTTTTTTTAAATAGTTTTTTCTCTCTCTCTCTCTCTCTCTCTCTCTCTCTCTCTCTCGCTCTTTGTCACTATCCACGCGATGCATGGGTACTTCAAGTTAAATTCTTGGTATAAGACTTTAACGAGCCCGTCACAATGGAGCGTTTTCAAATCTCTGGAAATGAGATGCATGTGTCGGTCGGTTACTTTGTATTCAGAGGGCCGGTTGAATTGTGCAGAAATGTATTTTCTGTCGCTTGCTCGCTCGCTCGCATATGCAATACCAAACCGATTTTTTAATGCACTACTCAACGGCATTTTCGCACGCGCAACTTTTTATGGTTAATTTTTTGTTGTCTTCCATTGTGCTAATATGACAGCATCGTACGACTTGTACAGTACAGCACATAGAACACACAACAGCAGTAAATATGATATTTGTGGAATTATTTAATTTAATAAAAAAAAATCCATTTTTTTTCACTGCTCTATACGCCGCCACTCGTGATGCTGATTGCCATTGTGATTGCGGCCACATGTAATTGTATTTTTATGTTTTTGATTGTTTGATTGTTTTGTCTTTTGAGTTTCGGGCTCGCAGTTTGACTTTCGGTGTACATATCATACAGGCCTTGCTTAAAAACCAATCTGGCCCAAGACAATGTTGCGATCGCACATGTTTGGCTGCGCTGTTGCTGAACAGCAAAACACGTCGACTCGGTGACGATACGCACTATATAAGTATTTATCGGACATCGGTTTTTTCCCATCTCATGTGACGAGGTGTGTCAATACAATTTATATACTCTAAATGCGGTCAGAATTCTATGATAATTTATGGGTTTTTGGTCGTGTGTATGCATCAGACAAACATATCACAGCACAACAGCATATAAGCCCAAACTTGGGCAATACCCGAACAGCAGACACACCGGTTGCTGCGATGAAGGTGTCACCAATGAGACACTCTCAAAATCGCGCGCACTCCACCGAAACTTCACAAGCAAATACTAAAAATCAATAAAACCCATTATCTCAATTGCAATTTTCGCACAACTAGCAAATAAGAAAAATTCACAGAAAAAAATCATTTGTCGTTTTGTGTTTGATGTTACAATCATTCGGCAGTGAGTCGAGCTGAGCTGATGTCGTATGTGGCTCAAGCTACATTCATTTCATGGCATCATCGCGTAGCGATATAGATACAGAGACTGATTGCACATGAAAAGCAACCATTTATTTAGTTTTTTCATGTGATTTGATTTTCCGACTAAGTGAAGCGGGTTTCGTTTTGTCATTTTACAAAATACATTCGAACGAGGTCAGTGCTGTGAATTGTTGGCCAATATTCGATTTCTGTCGAAAAAAAAACATTTACTTGAAAAATGGAACTGCCTATGAATGAACCGACAGCAACAATGTAATAGCCATCTTGTATGTATCATAGGCAGTTCTACCGGTGATCGGTCCAAGAAAATAAAGGCGCTCATCAGTTGCGCTTGAGTGTTCCGTGTATGCATATGCGTCACCAAAATCAACATTGATTTCGAAACAGACAGGCGAACAAGATGACCGGAACTTTAATTAACAAACAAAACCGTCGTTTTTCTAGATGAACTTGAACGCTATCCGGTGTAATTAATCTTTTGTATTTTCGACGCAATGGACGTTGCGTGGTCACTGTTTTTTTTTCAGTTTCAATTCATTCGCTTTACGTGGACAGATTTGTCCATGCAAAACGAGCGAACAATGCAAAATGAGCGTTTTGTGCAACGAACATCCATTACACATATGGTTACCAAATTCTGGTTTTACCGAAAATTAAAAATTGTGATCAATTTGTAAATGTGCGAATCATTAGCATTTTTCCGCTATGATCACTTTTTTCGATATCGTTGATTTGATAATAAGAAGAGAAAGAAAATTCCGATTAAATCATATGCAGCCACACAATAATACACCGGTTTTGGTTTACTTTCACTCTTGTTTTCTGCTATCTGCACACTCTTGTTTGAGAGATACGCAGAGGCATATCCGACCGATCGACCAAAAAAAAAATTGTCGTGAAATTTATTCACTTTTTAATCGAATAATTTATTCGTCGTTTAACCATGTTTTCTTCTCTGTTGGCATTATTGCCATCTTTTCGCCTGTTGATCATTCATCACCTAGACATGTTTAAGAATAATTCTGACTGAAGGGAGGAGGAGACAAATGTTCGAGATATTTCCAAAGTCAGACGTATATGCAGTCACGCAATTGATTTTTCAAGTTTACATGCTTTTGAGTTGATTGCATCACATGACGATCGATTGACACGATAAACACAATGTTGACACTTTTACAAATTGAATTGATAAATAGGGAAAACGGAAATCCAAAAGCAAGCGCGACACGATAAATACAAGTATGGAAAAAACCGAAAAAAAAGAAGTTTATCTAGATAAAATGTAAATTAATGCATCTGAAAGCGTTGCGATGGATGAGCAAAAAGGCAGGCATGGCAAAATGTCAGCCAATCATTTTTTCCAAATAGGAAAAGTGTGCACTATATATATATATTTATGATTAAGAGACAGTGGCAAGTCGATGTGATGGCAACAACAGCCGCCACCGAGTTGAAAGAGAGAAACGAAGAGAAGAAGAAAAAATAAACGTGAATGGCTTGCGATCGATTCATCTGAAATCATTACGAAATGTGATATTACGTTATACCAGAAACCTGCACGTGCACACACCATAGAGCGGCGCGAGCCGGCCACACGGCGATCTCTAGTCTGTTGTGTAACTAACGTAGCGAATGCGATGTACTTCTTTCAGTTCAACATTACGCTGATTGACGCATTGAAATCGATTGAGAGATTATAAAAAAGAAGAAGTAAAAACCGAACATTAAATTAAACTCACACACTCTTTTTCCATTGGGTCTCGCTACTTTTTCGCTTTACATGTCGACTGCTTGGTTGTTGCTGCTTTTTCTATACATTTAGTTGCTCACACAGTAATCCATGTGCTTATTCAAATTGATTAAAGTGGACATTAATTGCATTTAATATCTAAAATGAAAAAGAGACTAATTGTTGTTTTTCCGGTTTTCTTTGGAATTGAATTTATAGATTTTCCTGGAATGTGCTTTGCATCGACACGATGTGCTACTGTTGAACCGGGTAAATCATGGGACTTGACACCATTCTGCGGCAAATCAACATGCGTTGTTTCAAATGATAACAGCGGCAGGTAACACATGATTTCACATTTGATTGAGAGCAAATGTGTTTTGTTGGATCACCTTAGCCCCTCAAAAACTGTATTGATATTCAAATGTTGTCTCTTCTCCTCTTTTCCAAACAGACTTCAAGAATTGGTTGAAGATTGCGGCCCATTGCCACTTGAAAATAACCGCTGCAAATTGGACTCAGACAAAACCAACAAATCGGCTCCGTTCCCATACTGTTGTCCGAAATTCACATGCGAACCAGGCGTGAAGCTTGAATATCCAGAAATCAAAACCGAATATCCAAATTAAAAAAAATAAATTTTAACCCCCCCCCCCCCCCCCCCTATAGACACTCAAATTCACTCACACAAAAACACACACAACTTTTCTCTATCTCTCGCGCTCACCCCAGATTAGGAGACAATTTGCTGATTCAATGATTTATTTGTTTTTTTTTCTCGTAAAATAAAAATTTTGTTTCTTCCATTCCGGGTAATATACATATTTGGCTCTCGTTCTTTCTACGGAAAAACGATCGGACGACAAAAACAAAAGCAAGCAATTCAATCCTTTCAAAGCACTATTAGGAGAAAATATCACAAAAAATTATGATTTAAATGTGAAAAAAAACAATAATTTAATTTTATATTAATTTAAAGAGGATAAATAAATATGAAACAATTTCAAAAACAATTGAACGTTTTTATTTATGGTTTTGGTTTTTTTCTCTTTGTTGTTTTTGTTCTATAAAATCGATTAGTTTCCAGTCGATAAATACTCGCTTATGCACTATGGATGAATTGTTTTTTGTTCTTTTTTTATTTCTCTCTTTTAGGCATGCAATTTTCTTTTCAAATTTCCTAAATATGACTAAAGACATCGTTTAAATGTGTGTCGAAAATTTTGTTTGCCTCTTCGGCGATGTCCAATAGTGTAGCGTTTTTATTGAATATTACAAATGAGTGGCGCCAATTGGTCGACCGTTTAACAATCCAATAGTCACTCAATGTTTTCACAATAATTTCGCTCGAATTCGATGTGTTTGCGTCTTGGATGTAGAGGTCATTTAGTAAATTCATTATTTCACGTGGAATCGATCGTTTCTTCTTATACAACTTCTGATTGAGATGCACGCTACCATTGTGCTGGAAATTTAATTCGTTGAAAAATAAATATTTTGTCGTTTGCGTCGTTGATTCATCGGCATTGGCATTTCCAATTGAAGACGATGTTGATGTACAGATCAATGATGATGTTTTTCCATTGTCTTTGGTTAAATTCTCAGCTATGTCCGATGCAATATTTGTTAATTGAGGCCCAATAAACGCATGCAATTCCTCGTAGAAATCATTTGTTAGCGCACTTTTATCTGTGAAGTGGAAGGGCTGTTTTAGTTCTCTTTTCTTTTTTCAGTGAAATAATAATTCTCATAAAAACCAAAATCACTTGGAAAATCAATCTCATCGAAAATTCCAAAAGTAACACAAATGGAGGAACTAATCGAAATGAGCGAAGCTGTATCAAAAATAAATCAACAAAAATGCTCCTTATGCCTTATATTTGTAATATCCTCAAGCGTGAGTTGATCATTACCTTTAACAAACAAACATAAAGTTCCACTGAGCGCATTATAAACAATCATTTTGTACACTTGGCACTCTCCATTATTGCAAATGTAAACGGTTGGCGGTTTTTTGCAGTTATCACCCTGATGTGTTGGCCCAGCCAAATACGCTCCATACTGCGCATCCAGGCCATTCGAATAGTTGCGTGTCAATGATCCACCGCGAACATCATCGGCTGAACATTTTGGAAACAACAGCCCAGTCAAATACTCGTATATCGAATACAAATCGCTTGGATTGATTCCACTCCTGCATTTTGGTTAAAAAAATAAAATTATTCTCGATACAAATTAATCAAAATTAAATGAAATCGAATTAATGAAAAGAAAATCGAATGAAAGTCATTCCAACATGAAAACTGATTTTGATGAATCTGCAACTCACCACACTAATTGCTCGTTGAACAGAAATATACAATGTTTTATTGCGACAAAGGTGGATTCAATCATTTGTATAAAATTGTGAACCCGAAGGAACTGGAATTTATTTAGTGGCAAATATTGAATGCTGCGGCAAATGTCTAGAATATCACAATTGCGAGTCTTCAACGTTGCAACATACTGAAAATGATGCAAATTCGGGTTATATATATACTGGTTTCTGTTAAATATGCACAAGTGTAAGTACTTTTGAATAGAATTTGCTCAATTTATTTATGAGATGTTCAACTTGTTGGGTTTCGTTGTCGCCGACCAAATTATCCATGAATGTTCCACTGAATAGACGAAACATATAGTAAGATTGCTTCAGAACCTCTCTGTAAACGATTTCATGGGCATCTTCACAACGATATTCCGTGTATTCGGAATCATCTCGTGTCTTACGCTCTGAAGGTGCATTGAGAATCTAAAACGAACACCCATTTTAGTATGGACCGGTTGGATGGAAGCCAAAAAAAAATTCACAAATTACCATCATCATCCAAAAATCATGCTCAGGTTTGTAGAACAATTGTAGTGTCTTTTGTGTCCTCATGCAATAAACGCTCTCATCTGCCGTGAAAGTACTGCAAAAAATACCAACAAATTATTGTCAACATCCCGCATTCAATTAAATGAAACCTCACAAACACTTTACTTGGTAAATTTCACAATTGCTTCGCACAGTCCAATGTCTTTGATTTTCGTGTCCAGTTCATTTTCGGACGGATGATAGAACATTATTTTATTTTTCTCCTATAAAACACAAATCGATATGATATTTCGATTAGCAATAATAATGTTTTTGAACACAAAAACAAATTCTTACCTCTCCTTCGGTCGATCCGTATTTTGAGTTGAAAATAAAGAATTTCTTCAGAGCAATTAGTTTTGTATTATTGGCATCGTCAACTGGTTCCGTCATTTTCAATCACTTTGGTTCGATTCGAAAATTCAAATAAATAAAAAAACGCCTATAGCCTAAAATCCGTATAAAAAAATATATTCTGTTTCCACAGGTTACTCATCGATTAAAACAGATTAAAAACATCAAAAGTTTGTTTGAAAACGTCAAAAATTGAAACCAATCTCGATGTCATGCCACTCTTCAAAATCCATGCGTTTCACATGTGTGCATGCAATTTCAACAAATGAACAATTCATGTAGACGTGTATGGCAAAACGTCATTGATCATATACATTTCTAAATAGATATTAATTCGAAAAGGGATTATTATTTGTTCCACCATCATCTGTATTGAGTTTATGTTACTGAACGCAAAACAGTGTGCAGAAAAAAAATATCGTCATGGAGCACACAAAACCAATAAGAAATGCAAAGCCCACCGTTAGCGTGAAACCAACGATAAAATTAAGTGAACTAAATTTAACACCAGTTTATATTGCACTCTTTGTGGTACTCATTTCGATTGGTAAGTCGTTTGTTCAGCCCTCGGAACTGTTTATGCTACAGAACCATTTAAAAATGGACTAACATTTTAATTTGATGTCCATTTTGATTGCAGTACTATTCTTTTTGTGGAAAAAGAAATCTCAAAAACGCACCGACCTTTTGTTGACTGGACTGTGTGAATCTGGTAAAACGTTACTGTTTTCCCAGTTGGTGCACAATACAGCCAGTGAAACATTCACATCAATCGCTGAAAACGTTGGCGAATATGTAGCCGAGGGCAGTGGCAAATCGCTTCGTGTCATTGACATCCCGGGCCATGAACGTTTGCGTGGCCGATTCTTTGATCAATACAAAAATACGGCAAAAGGGATCGTGTTTTTGGTCGATAGTGTCACCGTGCAGAAGGATATTCGAGATGTGGCTGAGTATGTCTTTTGGTGTCTTATCAATTATATGCTTTGATTTTATAGTAAACATTTTTTTCCATATTTTCTTCAGCTATCTTTACACCGTGTTGGCCGATCCAAGCGTCGCATTTGTGCCAGTATTGATCACTTGCAACAAACAAGATGAAACATTTGCCAAAGGCAGTTCTGTGGTGAAACCATTGCTCGAGAAGGAATTGTAAGTTGATTGAAACGAATTTTAGTCCACAAAATATGTTCGAATAAGTTTATGGCCTACTATAACACTCTACTTTACTTTCAGGAATTTGGTGCGAAACACACGACAAAATCAACTTCAATCGGTGGACAATTCCACATCGGACGTGGTTTTCCTTGGCAAACAGGGTAAAGACTTTGAATTCGTTCACCTTTCACAATCCGTTGAAGTCATTGAATGTTCCGGCAGAGAAAATGATGTTAAAAGCCTCAAACGGTGGTTGAAAAGCTTAAATTAGAAATCGAAAAGAAACAGAGAGAAACAAATAAACAAACCCACTCAAGTTTACTATTATTCTATTTATTGTTTTTCCGTTGTTGATTTTTTCACTGAGCGATTCAATTCATTTTGTCAAAACAACTTAAATAATAAATTTGCTTATACTTCTTTTATAATTGCTGTATTTGTCTACTTTGGTGAGTAGCTCTTCTTTGTTGAGCCATTCAAAATTGACGTGCTTTGCGTCTACTTGCCCACTTTTCAAAATGGCCCGGTAGAAGAACACTTTGGCGCCGACGAATTCACCACGAATCTCTTTCGGATATTTGTACTTGTAGAACCCACACGGGGCCCGGCCATAAATGCTCGTTTGAATCGTATCGCCGCATAATTCTTTGATGATTCGTTGCGCGGCATCGTACAATGTTTCGCCGTTTGAAATTTTCCCCTGTGGGAGTAAGAAGAGTTTTTCGTTTCCCAACTTTTGTTCCATTATCAATGTCAACGGATGGTCTAGTTTGCGATTCGTTGACTTCATGTCATTTTTTTCATCGGCTTCTGTGGTTCGTGATGCCGGTTGAAATCGACTGCGTTCCGTTTTCCATAAATCTTTCAAATCCAATGCCGTCTGCTGAGCCACTCCGTCCAAATCAACCTTGAGCTTGCCTTCCTTCAGCGACTGTGCATACGCAACATCTCGCTGTTCTTTCAGCTCAAAATCCGATTTGTAACTATTCTCAAATTCCAATTGCGTCAACAGCTCCTACAACATATTCAATTAAAACGTGTTCGTAATGATGCGTTTACCATTTATTTAAACCCGTACCTGGTAGTCACGTTCCAATTTGGTTAATGTTTTTGTTATGATTGGCAATCGTTCAATTTGTACACCAACGAATAAATCCCATTTGGTGGTCTCTGCATTTGCCACAGTTGATTGATTCCGAATTTGTGGCACAAGTCGATATTTTACACAGTTTACGGTTTGCCGCAGCATGTTTCCAACTTAAAAACTAATTTTTTTTTTGCTTATTTATATCAACTGATTTTCACCGAAATTCATTCAGCTGCTAAGTAAAAAAAAACATTGAGGTTATTCACGGCGGATTTTGACATTTAGTGCTCGTTTCGCTTTTACACTGTTTCAAATGTTGATGATTTTAACCACACACTTATCAGCTACAAATGTCACTAGCACGTTGCTACTGGGCCACTATTTGTAAATAGAAAAAAAAACGAACTCTTGTGATTTTCAAAGCGTTTGGAACTTTTTCTTTGGCTCAAACCAAAATGACGGAAATTCAAAGTGAGGATGTTTCTTCGACCAAGAAGGAAACAGAAGAAGGTAATTATAATAAAATCTAAAGCATTGAATTGGAGTAACAAAAATGTTGATGTATATTTTCAGGGGCTGGAGCCGAAACTCAAAATCAAAAGGAGTCAACACAGGACAGTGATAACCGTAAGTATTGTAGTTGCGATATTCACATAAACTAAAATTGGACCTAAATTTCCATGATCGTTTTGCAGCATTCAAATCGGATAAAAAGCCACCAAAGCGGAAAAAGCAGAAGAAAATCGCTGGAGCAGATGAGTCACAAGCAAAAGACAACGATGATGAGGAAGGTAATGTAATGCCGGCACCACCGCCATCCAAGCGTCAGAAAAAACGACAGAAACTAGTGCAGAATGTAGTGCGAAACAAGGACAAAGAAATCGAAAAGACGATCTCATATTTGACCAAATGGGAGACGAGCCGTGATGAATGGAAGTATGAAAAATTGCGACAAATTTTCATTCAGAAAAATATTTTCGATGAGAATGTCATTCCAAATGAACACACTGAGGTTGCGATCAAATATTTGGCCACATCAAAGGTACTTACAGTAGTGTTGGCCGTCGAACACTTTCGAACACTTGTTCGACCGTTCGACAATATAAAAAAAAATTGTTTTGTTCGTTCGTTCGTTCGAAAGTTTTGAAAAAAATTATTTTGTTCGTTCGTTCGTTTGAAAAGTTGAAAATTATTTTTTTTGCTCGTTCGTTCGTTCGAAATTTATTTAAAAAAAATGTTGTTCGTTCGTTCGTTCGGAAATTGCTATGTTCGACCGTTGGGATTTTTACATTTGAAATACATAGGAAGCAAATACAATTTTGATTTCTTTGGGTAAGACTGTGAAGGTACAACGTAATTACCGGTGTTATTACTGAGTAATACCACTGGTAATAATTACTATCGATCTTATTACCGATTAATAAGTAATTACTAAGATGATAGTTATTACCGATTATTACCGTTAAGTACTTAATTCAACTTTGTACAGTCTGAGCGATATGTCTGAGCGATATGTCCGTACATTGTTTGGTTGGCACAACCGTTCTTGTTTCTCAGCATTATTTCCAAATGTCAATGCGGTCAAGACATATCGCTCAGACTGTACTTAAGCTTAAGTGTGTACGTTAAGTACGTTAAGTACGTTAAGTACGTTAAGTACATACTTAAGCTTAAGTACATACTTAAGCTTAAGTACAAAGTCTTTAATTAAGTACTTAACGGTAATGATCGGTAATAACTATCATCTTAGTAATTACTTATTAATCGACGATAATAATTATTACCAGTGGTATTACTCAGTAATAACACCGGTAATTACGTTGTACCTTCAGTCTTACCCAAAGAAATGAAAATTGTATTTGCTTCCTATGTTCTATGTATTTCAAATGTAAAAATCCCAACGGTCGAACATAGCAATTTCCGAACGAACGAACGAACACAATTTTTTTTTCATAAATTTCGAACGAACGAACGAGCAAAAAAAATAATTTTCAACTTTTCGAACGAACGAACGAACAAAATAATTTTTTACAAAACTTTCGAACGAACGAACGAACAAAAAATTTTTTTTTATATTGTCGAACGGTCGAACGAACGTTCGAAGCCAACACTAACTTACAGTACAATATTCATGGTTTCAATTTCAAACCTAATGCTCAAAATCTTCTTTTTTTGATCGTTTTTCTTAGGGTCATGCCCGTGCAGTCATAATTGAGGCAGCCGAAGCCATAATCAAAGAAATTGAGGATAAGATTACCGACGAAAATCAAGAGGAACTCACCTCATCAGCACGCTACGATCGGGCACGTGAAATACTTCAATCGATGCAAGAATAAAATCGATCCATAAGAACAGAAAATTATTAGGAAATAGGAGAATTATCAATAATAATACACACTTTTTTTTTATTAAGAAATTAAATCAAGTTCAGCATATTATTTCAACGTGTTTGCAAACATAGTTTGGCATTTTGATTACCAAAAGTTTGGCGCCAATGTTCCACTCGGTGGTGTGATTTTGTTCTCCCTAACAATGGTACCGATGAGATTTTGAAGTCGTGAGAATGGTCCTCCGGAATCGATCTGCAAAGCATTAGGTCAATTGATGGTAATTAAATATATATGTCGTTTCAAAATTTGTTTGACTCAATCGTTTCAAAGGAATTTGGACGAAATACATTGATGCGCTGTCTTACCTTTTCAAGTTTTGGCATGTAAAGGTCATGGAGCACCACCAACAATTTCATGAATTGCTTCTTATACACTTGCCACATTTCAGCACCAGATTCCTGAATGAACTCCAGTAGAAGTGTTGGACTTATGCCTGGCAACGGGTCGAGCATTATGAAGTTCGACAACCACATCCAACCATACTCGATTCCATGTGGATGCTCTAAATGTTGTTGTGCACTTTTCAATTTGGTTATCAGCACCGCTGAATAGAGACGTTGCAATCCCGATATCCGTTTCAAATATTGCTCTTGCTCTTCCATTTTGTCATCGGTGAATTTATAGCCCAGAATACTAGAATTTCAGATAGACGATTTTGAAAAATATCGACACAGTGATACAAATTTTGCTTGTAAACGATGACTTCAGTTTCCATACCTGAAATAATCTCTTTCACTCTGTCCAGGCTGTTGAGGCACAAAATACGGAACGAAAAATGGACATTCGATATAGAGTAGGGCGAGAAACAGTTTGCCAACATCCGGAAACAATTGCCAAATCGATACAATGACGGCTGCGATTGGAAAAGCTGCTTGCTGATGACTACTGGTTACAGTTGTTCCTTGCGTCTGTTGTGACGAAAATTGAACACCAAATTGGGGTTTCATTGATAAATTTGAGGAAATACTTGCATATACTATCAACCTTAGGTTGACAACCTAAGAATGAGCTGATCTTCTTTCTTTCAATTGAACGAGAGAGAAAAAAATAATTAAATGAATGAAACAATACTCACAATAAATTTCTTGGCTAACAAAAAAGTACAGTATTTAATTCCCAGTGGATGTTCTGAAGCAGAGAATGGGATATCACTCGATCGAACTTGCTTTCCCGCCAACAGATCGGCGATCTTTTCAAACTTATCCTGTTCAAAAGTAAACGTTTCAAAATAAGCAACTTGTCGGTCTTATGAACGTGAGGAATGTCAATAATGGAAGAAAAGACTACATGAGAACATAGGTCAAAAAGGGAAAAAAAGAGGTGCTCAAACCTGAAGATGTTGTGCATTGACGGCGGCAATTGAATTGATTGGTGTGTTGACGCCTTTTTGGCAATTGAATCGAAACTTTTTCGCGTTAACATCAGCGAGGAGCGGTTGAATTTGTGCCCTATATTCTTGGTACAAGTTCAACAATTCATAATATTTGGCGATACGATCCTCGGAGCCAACATTGTTGCGCGATTCAATGGCCGGAATTGGTGGTCTGCCGATATTGCCATCGGTGACGGAAATTTCATTTGTATTGGCCGCTTTGAGTGCATCGGCTGGACTTTTCGTCGTTGTTGCTGCCGCTTCATAATTCTTGGTCTGCAAACTGTTTGCTGCTGCTGCTGCTTTTGATGCATCACTTGCTGCATTTTGACTCAGAGCCTCCCTACTACATTGGATATGACTATTTAAATCACTTTGTTCTTGTTTAATATCTAAGCACAATTTTTCAAATTGTTCGGTTTCGGCAGCGGTAATGAGTGGTTTGGAATTTACTGATTTAATAATTTTTTCGTAACATTCCAGCAATGCTTCCCGTTTGCCCGTATATTCCGCCAATTTACCTGTTTGATTCAACAAACCCTGATGATTGATTATAGTTTTTGCAAATAATTCATATAAATTTATAAACAGAAGTTTACTAGCGTTAATGCTTTCGAATAACAATCGCAGTTCATCTTGTCGCTTCAATTGGTTCGCATGTTCAATCACTTTGCGACTATGTTCAATCATTTCACTTTTCTTCAGATTTGATTTCATTTCGTCTTGTTTGGCTTGCGCTTCAATTTTTTCGATTGCTTGTAGCGCCAATTTTTCACGTTCCAATCGCTTTGCATTGGTTAACTTTTGTTTTTCGGCCGAATCGATGCGAATCTGTTGCAACCGTTGCTCTAATTCCGAATCCCATTGACACTGTTTCTCCTGCAAATGCGTTGAAATCTTGGCGCGACGTTGTTTTTCCGCCGTATTCGCCGCCAATCGAAAGCTGATCACTTTGCAATCATTCAAATGGAGGATATTCTTCGTTGGCGTTTCTTCGTGATCAGACTCAATCTTTACCTCACGCCATATATCCTTACGAAATTTACTACCATCAAATGTACCATTATGCAACGCATTTTTCGCACTATTTGCTCCAGACGATCGTTCACACCTGTTGTCATTGCGCTCATTTTTGTGATCTTTCACATATTGACGCAATCCATTCGTTTGTTTCGGACCAATCGTCCTTTCTTGCACAAGTGGTGATATTTTTGCTGCATTTACAAGCGTTGAAATTTTCAAATTCCCCACTGTTTCAGCCAAAGCATTCACAACATCATGCTGCACATTTGACTAAAATCAATGGTTACTTAGTTAATGCACATTCAAGCAAATGTAAAATGAAGATCCAGTGTGTTTCATACATACCGTGTGTACAGTTGAAGCCATTCTGAATTCAATTGGTTGGTATTAAAGTTAATTGTGGACAAAAGCCCATTCAAGCATGCAAAACAAAGGCAATGGCGCATAGAATCAAACAAATATGAGAACTGTTTACAATCATTCTCAACTAGAAAAAAACGAAAAGTGAACGTAAAACTGGATATATTGTTTTCGTTGGATAGTTTCGTTGTTCGAAATGTCAACGTAACAAACTCATTCGCACAATGTTGGTATTGAACTGTCAAACACGCAACGCGCGCGCTATTCGCATTTAAATTTCTACACACTCATTCGTATAGCCGCACACATACATCGTGCTGTGCAGTTTCGAAATGTTTTGAGTTCGAAACACAGACGGCAGAGTGTGAAAAAAAGACGAAAAACGAAACGAACTGTTTCTCCATCAGTAAAACCAATCGTGTGCAATGCATATGTATTGTTTGACAGCTTTTGATTGAAATTTAGCCGATCATTCCTACTACACACATACACCAGTCAGTTGTTGGTTGTTTTTTTTTTGCACAATTTTCGGTATTTCGACAACACAACTTAGAATTCCATCTCAATTTTTTTTCGAATTCGGCTACGAACAATTTGGAGAAACAAAGAAATAAAGAAAAAATACGTTCTGAAACATTCTCATATCGGTTAGATTTTTTTGTTTGTTTGTTTTGAAAAGTCATTGAATTACAAAATTCGCGCAGAAATGTCGGATTTACAGATGCTTGTTGAAATGGGATTTAGTGCTGAGAAGGCGTATGTATAACATTAGAATTTTCTTTTCAACTTTTGACATTTTAGATGTAAATGATTAATTGCGTTGCATCGTTCGCACGATTTTAGGCAAAAAGCCTTAGATGTCACCGGCAACAAAATGGAAATTGCCATGGAATGGTTGCTTGCACATTCCGATGAATCTGAAGTGGCTCCCGAATGTGTTTCAGCCGATTCGACGAATACAGCTGAATCGGCCCCGGTGACCGGTGATGCCGGCGCTAGTAGTTCGGGTACAAATGAAGTGGCACAAGAGCCGCAAGAAGTCAAGTCATTCAAATGCGAAGAATGGTAATGTCAATGCGTCACTTTAATGACTGTGTGTGTGTGCGCGCGCGTATGAATTTTTTTTCATTTTTTGATCAAATTTATGTGATTTTCAGCAATCGATTGTTCAAAAACCAAATGGAAGTGGAATTCCATGCTGCCAAATCGGGCCATAGTAATTTTTCGGAATCGACTGAAGAGAAGAAGCCATTGACGGAAGAGGAAAAGAAAGAGCAGCTGGCACGGCTCGAGGAAAAATTGCGCCAAAAGCGATTGCAACGCGAAGAATCGGAAAAGCGTGAAGCGCTCGAGCGGGAAAAGTTCCGAATTAAAAGTGGTAAGGACATGTCAGAAGCACAGCGCAAAATCGAAGAACAGGAAATGAAGAAATTGGTTGAGCAAAGAAAACGTGAAAAACAAGAGGATAAAATGGCTCGTGAACGAGTCAAGGCACAAATTGAAGCCGACAAAGCTGCACGCCGTGAACAAATGGCACTGTGAGTATAAATTTGATTTCTGTCTCGATGTCGTTCTCATCTCAAACTTCAATTTTCAATCTGATTTGTGCTGTCTCTCGTTTTTGAACATTTCTCTTTCTGCCTGCATAGACTCAGTGGAAACGCCAGTCCAACTACAACTGCCACTGCCACTCCACCGGGAATAGTCACCATAGCTGAACCTTCGTCAACGTCGTCGTCGTCGGCGGCAGCATCATCATCATCGTCGGGCGCACCGAAGACATACGTCAACACGAGAATCCAAATCCGGTAATGAGTGATTTGGAATTCACTGATTTGATAATTTTTTCTTAAGTTAAGGTGACTATTCCTTTCTTTCATTTCAGTTTGCTAAATGGCAGCACACTGGTCGAGACATTCGATGTAAAGGAACAATTGTCGGCCGTTCGTCTCTTCATACAAATCAAACAAGGCATCGACGAACCATTCGGATTGATGACAAATTTCCCACGTAAAGTGTATTCCGATGAAGACTATGAAAAACCACTTGAAACATTGGGACTGGTACCTAGCGCCGTTCTCATCGTAACCAAAGCCAAATAAAGAAGAAACACAACTCTTCAATTCTTTCGTCCCATTTCCTCAAATGATTCTTTTCTAATGGTGAATGTAACATAAAATGCATGAAAACAAACATACATACAACTTACGTGAAACGAAAGTAAAACAAAACCTAAAACATAATTTGTTTTTTAAGCTGATAAAATTGGGTTCGTTTAATTCTTTCTACTGATGAATTGAAAAACAGAGCAAATTTATTGTTTCTTCGATTGAATTTTTATTTAAAAAACAAAATATTTACATTTATACAGGGGAGAAAACATCCAATTTTGGAATGGCATTCCAGTGTAAAGTCTTTGTTTGAAGAGCCAACTGAGATTTTTGATTGACTTTTAATATCATTTCTATGGGTGAGATTGAGAGTAGTGTATGTTTGATTGACTTTGTTACGAAAGAGAAGAGCAAGTTTCTGTCGACTTAAAAATGGTTAAAAGCGAGTATGTTCGTTTTTAGCGGGTCCTCGCGGTTTTTCACGGTTTCCGTGGAACTGATAAGAGATAACAACTTGGTGTCTTCGGTAAAATTGTAGCACTCGAGGTCTTCTATAACATCGCTGAAGACAGTTTTCTCTTATCTCTTATCAGTTCCGCGAAAAGCGCGAAAAATGATAAGAAAAAAAAAGTTCTATATAAAATTTGCTTTTTTATGTGCGCGATTTGCGCGCAACTGATAAGAGATAAGAGATAACTGTCTTCAGCTTAGTTATAGAAGACCTCAAGTACTACAACTTTGCTGAAGACGCCATGTTGTTATCTTTTATCAGTTGCGTGAAAACCATGAAGACCGCGGAGGCTAGACGGTACTACAACATACTCTACTTTAACGCCAACAGAATCATCAGAAAACATACTCGCCTTTTCAAAAATATAAATCGAAGAAAAAACATACTCCATCCTCAATCTCACCCATAGATTTGTAGTTCATTCTTTCAGAAGAAAATTTGAAAAGTTAATTTTCTGTTGTACGACGCTCTGTAAAAAGCCTTCAGAGCTAACAATCTGAATGTCCGGATGTGCATCCTTATATGACTTCCACATTTTACTGTCTTTTTTATGCGATATTAGAACAGCGACTGTGTTTGGTTTGCGTTCCTTCAACGGATTATTAACGTACTTACCACCCGCCCTCTCGACAATTTCCGCAATTTCGGATGTAATTGGTTGAACATTAGGTGTGGTACAGATGTGATAGTTGACAAAGAGAGGAGTTTTCCGTGCAGCTTCTATTAGGGGATTATTTTTTTTTTAGAAAATATTCGTACACACTCAATATTATAGCGACATCTATTATTAAAATAGCTTGTAGTAAACGCATTCATAGCATCTCACTGTAGTTGCGATGTTACCTATTAAATTCCCCTGTGGTATGTAGTTAACAAGTGTCAAACATGAATGTGTCAGTACTACAAGGGAACTTAATAGGAAACATCGCAACTACAGGGAAATGCTATAAATGCATTTACTACAAGCTATTTTAATAATAGATGTCGCTATAATATTGAGTGTGTACAAAAATTCCGTTGCAATTGTAATCATGAATAGAGTGATTTTTACCCAGAGATTTTCTCAAGCTGAAGCGAAATCTTTTCTCTGAATTTGTATCAGAAACTATATACGGATCGGTAGGTTCGAACCCACCACATTTGGCTGAAGCATCAAGCCAACGTGGTGATACAATTGGAATGCCTTTCGTTAATGCGTATAGAAATTTGAAGGTCCGTGAGATTTTATCACAAATCAATATTGTTCCCAATTGGGGGGTGTCAACAATGGCGCCGCCCAGTTTTTGGATCACATTTTTGTATGGAGCCGAATTAACTTTAGTAAAAAGTATAGCTGGCCCCAAAGAAGAGCACGTAGATGGTCGATCTGAAGTTCGACGTTTCATAGACGATAAGAGATGGGAGTCAGGGATGTTTGTCTGAAAATAAAAAAACCACAATAATCGTACCGTTTCTTCTGTTAAGGACATCACTTTAATCTAACAAATAAATGTTTTATTCATTTATGAATTTGGAATTTTGAACGCTACGAATTGCGATGGCTCTTGTTCATTTGGACAATACTAATTTACTTCCGATTGATTTTGTTTTTTTTTTGTTCATTTCGAAAATAATAATTTGTCATTGATCGATAGCTTTGGATTGATTTTGTGTTCTGATTTTCTTGGCTTTGCCTGGCTTTCAATTAAATTGTATTTTGACTCGTTGTTTTTCGCTTAGCCACTGAATGAAATGGTTCGTGATCTTAATCGCCGCTGCATGACCAAAATACATCCGATTTATTGAAAACAAAAAAGCAGAAAGCGAAAAAATGAAAATATAAAACGGTGAACAATTTTGATGGAAATAAAATCGAAAAATAAAATGATTGCTCAAAATGCAATTAGTTGTGTAGTATCGTGAAAATTTACTTACAGTCATAGGAGCGGGACTGATGTTATTTTCCTTGGCTTTGTCTTTGTCCTTGTCTTTCTTGGCGTTGCGTAATCTCGATTCATTTTCCTTCGACTTGCTCGAAGCCGATGTTTTGGCCATTGGTGGGCTGTGTCTCATCAGAGCGGCCAGCTCTCTTGGTTCCTTCTTTCCACGTTTCTCCTTCGGTTGTGCATCTTCGTTTGCATTTGCTTTTCGCTTGTTACGGCTCTCATTTGGTGGTGGAGTCTCGGCCTCTGACTTTCGACGACGCAGGTTTCGTTGTTGAACCGGTGCTTGATCGGCGACCGACTTTGTTTCGGTGGCGTTCGAATTTTTGTTCGTCTCGTGCGGCGCGGATGATTTTTTCGAATGATTTTGTTGTTCCTGTCTCTCTTTTCGTAGGTATTCATCAACCGTTTGTCGAGACACTTTCACCTTCACATCCATATCACGCTGGGTGATTTTACCTGACTTATTTGCATCAGGTTTTGACTTCTTTGGCACTGAATCTGAATCATCGCTTGTCTTTGTCCTCTTTACTGATAAGGGTCGTGTTAAAAGTTCTTGTCTCTGGCTTTCCTTGAGCGATGACACACGTTCCACTGGGTTTGACTTCTTTGGCACTGAATCTGAGTCATCGCTTGTTGTTGTCGAGGACGCTGACAAGGGTCGTGTCAAACTATCGTGGTTTTTGCCATGTTTCTGGCTTTCTTTGAGCGATGACATACGTTCCACTGGGTTTGATGGCAAAGCCAAATCGAAATCAAAATCGTCTTCATTCTCATCTTCATCTTCGGAAGCCGCAAAGAGATATCGATTTTTACGAAGTTTTTCACGTTTCTTCTCCGCCTCTCGATCGGCCTGCTCTTTTTCAAATTGATCGATCGCAGCATTCGATATACGCGCTGCCATTGACCATTCTAATATTGATACAAAAATCAATTTTGATTATATAGAAATGTGGTAATGTGGTAATGTGGTAATGTGTCGAAATAATTATACAGACCTGGTGTTAATGATGGTTGGCTACTTTGTGTTAAAACCGCCGGTAATCGTTGCTTTGGAATGTTTTGGGAAGGCATTCCAACCACTTGTGTTGGCATATCGAAAAATTCTGTTTCAATCAGATCTTCACTCGCATTGTTCGAAGGCTCTGGAGCTTCAAAAGCCTGAGTTCCGACATCGAATAAATCATCTGTGGACGAAATCAACCAATAAAAAAAATGATTGAAAAATTTTACCATTTTGCCCGATTCAAAAGTAACCATACCTGATACATTGTGTTGGTTCGATTTCTGTGGTTCAAACTCATTGGGTTTCTTCCACGTAACGGTTTTCTTCGAAGATGATGACGGTTTGTCTGATGGCATTTGCTGCGTTGGCTGATCGAAAACATAGTCTTCTGGTGGCAATTGTGTTTCTGCAATGTAGACGTCGTCTTCTTCTGGCTCTATCGGTTCTGATGTTCCTCGGGGATTGCGTGGGGGTGCTATTTGTGTGGCCGCCCCGAAAAAATCGTCTGCATCGTGGATATCTTCCTTTTGTGGGGCTCGTTGTGTGGCTGCATCATAAATACTGTCTTCGTGAGATGTCTGTTTTGCCGCACCGCGTACATGTTCGCCCAATCTTTTGGGCGATCGCATCCTATGAGTGGGAGCATCAAAAACGTCTTGCGATTCGATGGGTGGATTCGGTTTGGTTTTCACAAGTGGAGTGATAACAGCTGCGGGTAATTTGAAAACCAGTTCTGTGGCGGCCAAGAACAAGTCTTGTGTGGATTGTGGTTCTGGTGAATGCGTTCGGTTTGCCAGTTGTTGTGTGTTTGCATCATAAATGTTTTGTGAAAACATCTGCGTTTCATTTATGTCATCATCGTCACTATCAACATTTTCGCGTTGCTCCGCCGTCGGCTGCTTCTCAACAGCATTCGAATTGGTCATACTCGCAAGGTCGGCAAGGTTCTTGCAAACATGATCAGACAATTCAATATCGGGTGTTGTGGATGTGCTGCGATCAACGCGGCCGCCATCGTTCGGTTCATCGTCTATTTGTGTGTCGTTATTTTCCGAACTAGCTTCATTCGCCGACGCTACAGTCTGTGTCGACACGATCACATTTGAATTATTGTTTGCAATAGCTTCTGTGTAAGTTGTTTCAATATCACGTAGTATACTTTGATCCATGTTGGCCATGAGCATTTGCGACTGTTGCTCAGTGTGATCGTCTGCCTCTGTTTCAGGCCGAACCCGTGCAAATTCACTGTCATCTGCACCTTCACTTGCTTCAGATGAACCGCGGAATCGACCATTATTGCCAGCCACTTCAACGTATAACGGAATGGTCACACTTTCTCCCGAATCATTTGATTCTTCTTGGAAAAATTGTGTCTCGGGAATAATCTCATCGTCATCGTCATTTTCAGTTTCAAACATATCACGGGAATCGTCATCCGTTATTTGCACCGACTTCGATACTTCGACTGATGTTCCGTTACCTGCACCGGTCGATGTTCCATTCGCGACAGTAGCATTGTCATTGTTGCGCGTTTTTGATGTATTTGCAGCGTTCGCAAACAGTTGCGATACCTAACGCCATTTTATAATGATGATACTTGTATAGTATTTTTTTGCGAGCATAAAAACATGAAAAAAATCTAATACAAAATACAAAATGCGACAAATCTTACGTGTGTCAGATCACATGTTGAAAAATCCGGTTTTCTTCCCAAGTATTCGGCGATGGTTGACAAGAACTAAGAAAAAATAATGTCAAAAACAAAATAATACGCAAATTTGTGGTTAATTTCGCATTATTTGAATATGCAAAATAATAATTTCGTTTGTAACTCACCAATTGAAAATTGTTCTTGCAATTTTTGAACACCACATCCAATTGGGCGTCGTTTTCATCGTCCATAATCGGTTGGTTTTGTGAAATGTTTGTTTTTGAGTTTTTGTTATTCTCTTCGATTTTCAAATGCCTGCACTCGCGCTCAAATCCTTAAGCAATGTGATGAAATGTTGACATCATGTGTCAGTGAACAGCGCTGTTTCGTTCGAATGCATTCGATTCGAGGGTTACCCGATTCAATGTTTTGACTAACAAATCCATTCCGAAAAATCTCCACACATACACTCAGTCGGTCTTATTTGATGTTTCGAATGACATTTTTGAAATAACAAATCGAAAATAAAATGTGTTGTTTGTATTGTTCGTCCAAGTGATTTATTTGCGGAAGAAGAAAATGGATAAATTCACAAATTGGGAGCGGCAAGGATTGAAAGATTTCTTCAATTCATCGGCTGCTGTGGACACAGTCATTCCGGTGGCAAAAATTGTATCCAAAAATATGCTCAATCCACAGTCGAATTCAGGTTGGTACTTCACAACTTTGTTGATGCAATTTTTTTTCCTCAAACGATTTTCAATTTTGTAGAGGCCATCGATATGATACTACTGCACTCAACCAGTACACAAAGTATACTCAACCGGAAAGCCATCACAAAAGAGAACTTGTTCAAGTACTTGCATGCCAAAAAAGTGCCCGTCACCAGTGAATTCACAAAGCAGCTCCTGATCGAAAAGATTCTGCAGTATTGGAAACAGTCTTTTTATCTGTGCGATGATGAAAACGACGAAGAGATGCGCAATGAACGAACCAAACCGATAGCACAGCCTCAAACTAATCATCACATATCGACCAATCACAGCTCCGATCAATCAGAACAATTCCCGATCAATCAAATGGCCCGGAAATTCGCAACTTGGTTCTACGAGAATTTGAACACCAATCGGCTGCAAGTGAGTGATTTTTGGTGCAATTGCAAGTGCGCGGTACAATTTCTGGAGAATCAACAATGTCTGATGGAAGAGGGGCATCTGGGAGCGCAAGCTGCTTTGGAATTCTGCCAGTCACTTTTGGCCAAATACAATTTGTATTTGAACTTGAACATTAGTCATTCAGGAACGCAGGGTCGTATTGACTGCCATGGAGTAGTATTGGTTTTGACTTGTGGTACATTGCACAAAGTCAATCAGTTTGTTGGAACGTTTGAGGCAATATTTGGACTGAGCCGTGATCCATACAGCCAAAACAATTGGAAGATAAACCAGATGAGCCTACGACTGCATAATTTTAATGCGCAACAAACACAAAATGCATCGTTATCGATCGAACAGCCAACACTTATCACCAGCAATTCGATTGTCCCGCTGCTTAGCCTTTCAATGCCAAACGGAGATGAGGAAATCGGATAATCTTTTTTTTATTTGTATTAGTTTGTTTAAAAAAATAATCACAATTTGTTGACTTAATTAGTATGTAAAATAAACAAAACATTTTATACAGACACGAATTTCGTTTCTTTTCGTGCACTCCGAACTGTATTTTGATCTTTTTGTACTTAGATAATAGATGGCGACACATTGATTGCCTCGAACCACTGAATCTCACTCACAACGACAAGTTCACCAATATCGACAATATTTTGACATGTAATCAGAACAAAACAAATTTATGTGTAATATAGTTTCAGTGTTTACAAATAATTTTTTTTTTGGCATTACTTCATTTTGGTGTTGAAATTTTCGGCTCGCTGATTGGGAAATATGCATTTAATTTTATTGTGACTGTTCGACGTCCAAAACAAAAGCGCTTATTGAGCAGAAAATAAATTGGTATTGAAACAAAAACAAAAGAAAGAACGTAGGGGAAAAAAGAGCAACAAAGGGAATTATAGCTGCTAGGCATATATTTGATATAAAGAAAATTAATAAAAAGAGCCTACCGAAAATGGCTTCAAATGATTCAGGTGTTGATTCAAGCAACGATAGCTTTTCTACGATAGATAATAGCAACAATAACAGTGCAAATACCTCAATGAATAGTCTTGGTCAAGAGGGTAGTAGCAATCCACTGATGGACGCACTTTGTCAAGGCGCCCAAAGTTTTGAATCATTTCAATCATCATCACAGTCACAGGAGGGCGGCGGCGGCAGCAGTAGCTCATCACAGAGTTTCCGACGACCGGATCGAAAATTTCAATCTTCAAGACACCAAAGATTGGCAAAAGAATTTAACCATCATCATTCAACTCGTCATGCGTTAGTGCCGTACGTGTGCAAACTACCGAACGAAAGGAAATTGCGGTTGGCCGCATCGGTTTCAAATATAGAGCTATTGGTTCGGCTATTGGATCTTGGCGTTAACCCAGACACCGCTGATGAGCATCTGCGATCGCCGTTACATTTAGCCTCGAGCCGTGGTTACAAGGACGTTGTTAAAATTCTATTGACACGCGGGGCCAATCCAAACAAACAAGACTCACTTGGCAATACCCCGTTACACTTGGCTGTTTGCTCGGCCAGCTCATACAATTTCAATATGGTTTGTACTTGTTTCGATGATTGAATTCGCGCGATGTGCACGCACATACAATATACGAAACCATTTTGTGCATACACACACTTGTTCACAGCACTTATTTGTTTATGTCTACAATTTTCAGGTCGTGCGCATCCTATTACAAAACGGTGCACGTGTAAACATATGCGACCGGACCGGTAAAACGCCATATGATCTAGCGAGAAGTAAATTGCTGTTGATGCGTTCACGTCTGGATGGCGGTATAACGCCCGAATCTGCCAAATTGTTCGTAGAAATGTCAATGTTGACGGGGCTGCTGTATAAAACATTGACACAACAACGCAATGACATGGAATTTGACGATTTGGAAGAGCGTCTTCGCAATCTGAGCACAAAAGAAATCGAAGACGGTGCCGACAATCTACTAGTTGATGTTGCAGGTTTAACATTAAACTGAGCTGAATCCAACCAAATTTTTTACGTCGTAGATTCATTGGTTTTTTTTTCTTTTTAAATTGTATTCTATATCGAAAATATAAGATAAATTACTTATCAGGTTGAATTTTTTAAGTTGTCAAAATATGTTTACCATACGATTTCGAATTTTTCGATTTTATACACATCCGCGATAAAAATGAAGGAAAAAAATAAACAAATGATAACTTTTGTCTACCAATTTAACTCGTTCACATCTCATTGTTATTCTTCAATAGATTTTTTTCTAGCAATGTTTTCCATGATACACGAGTCATCAATGAGATAAGTAATTTCCACTTGTTTTGTTCAATTTTGAAAGTATTTTAGAACAAAAGCGAATTTTGATTCTTCAATCCAAAGCTCATGGCTTCAGTTTGCATTTTAATTCATAGAGATGCGTTTGCTTCTGATCTGAACGCCGCATCTAAACACCGCAAACGGTAAATAAATTGAAGTCTGTTGAGAATTGTAACTTTGTCGGTCTACTACAAAAGAATGAATATCGAATATGAAATTGGTTTGCATGTTTTTGCTATGAGACCCTTTGTTTTGGGAAATTATGAACCAATAGAACAAACCGATATCAAATTGATATTATTATCAATTGACCCGATACAAACAAAATAACTGACACAAATGAAACTTTCCAAGCGAAATGATGAGAGCGATGAATGTGATTGTGTTCTCCAAGAAAAACCAATAAAAGACAACCGCATAGAATATTTATACTTTTAATTTCAAGAATAATATTATAACCGTTTTGTTTATCGCGGCGCTGTAATTTTTTGGCCGCGTACAAGTACAAAGAGTCGTTTAATTTAAATTAGAAGATATTCACTAAAAATTGTAATATTCCGTACAGAGTTCAGGTCAGTGCAGATTTTTAAATATGTTTATTTGTATTTTGTTTTTTTTTTTTTTTTGGACATAAACCATAAATATATCCTTAAAATTCAATTCGAACTATACTTGTTCGCTTGTTCAAAATGTTTGGATTGAATTAAAAATGGGGCAGCATTTGAATGAAGATTCGTTTACATGATTTGATTTTTCATATATTTCAATTAATCTTATTGATAATATTTTCAGAGCTAAAGTTCGATGTTCTCTTCTGCATTGAAGGATTCGATCTCATGTCAAGAAACCGAGTCGTTCAATCGCTGCCTGTGATAAATTCTTACATTTTTTCTTGAATAAATGGATGTGCAAGTGCCAGATTTAGGGACAGGCGCTTTGAGGGGTCCAAAGCGAACAGTGAGTCGAGTAAATCTCGCAACTGTGACACCTTGCGCAGTTGATCATCAGGCAAATTTTGGTCAGCGACCAGCTCCTGATGAAGACTCCTCGTTGGCTTGATGACTGGCATCACGACGATTTTCTCCTGCAAAATTCAATCGAAATGGAAAAGAAAAACCCATCAAAATACGTTCACAAAACATCAACACAGTGGAAATCAAATCAATCAACTCACCCGTTCAGTCAGCCGGTCTATTTCGTGTGATAGAAAATTGCAATTCTGGTCGAAATGCTGGTCTTTGAATTGTCCCTTACGTATCACTTTATTTGGAATTTTCCCCTTTAAATCCATAAAAAATTTTAACATTTGATTATTTGATTTGCCGCTGAATAAAATTTTTCCCGTATACAATTCATAAATAGTACAACCAGCTGACCACATATCAATTCCATAATCATATTGCATACCAAGAATAATTTCTGGTGCTCGATAAAACCGTGATACAAGATACGGTGTTATTTCATTGTCAGTGATATGTGTCGCTGAGCCAAAATCACACAGCTTCAGTATTAAATTGCTTTCGTTGACAAGGATGTTGTCCGGTTTGATGTCGGCGTGTAGGATGCCGGTTTTCTTCAGCAGTTTTAGTGCTAAGAATAATTGTTGCGTGTAACTGCGCACAGCTTTTATGTGAAGGCCCACATTTTTGCCGTACTTTTTCAGCACTTCACGCAGATTCATCGACAGCGGCTCGAATACCATGCATAAATGCTGTCGAAAAGAGAATGGAATTCGGTAAATATTATTATGTTTACTATGGTTTATTTCAATACGTTAACTACATATATTATATGGTGAAATAAATGTGTATTTTTTTCCCGAAAGGTTAGCATTGATACCTGTTTGTGGAAAAAGTGTCGATGCAGCCGAAGACAGTGGTATCGATCGTCTGGATCAGCGTCGTTCAACTTCTTTAGGACCTCCAATTCACGCAAGCCCGTTTTGTGCCTGTTAATTTATAAGCATAAAGTTATGAAATCATTTCCATTGGATTATGTGAAGAGAAGAAAAAAGTTCAAAATTTTCTGAAAAAAGAGAAACTTGAAACGAGCTGCAAACTCACATAATTTCATTATTTCGGATTATTTTGACCGCCACATTTGCATTGCCTCTGGCTTGATCTCGAGCGCTAACCACATTACTGAACACACCTTGACCGGTGAAGCCCGATACTATGTATCGATTATCCAACACTTCTCCAATGCGAACCCGATAGTAACCTTCAGCGTCGTCCCAATTATCAGTTAGGGCAGGATTATCAACGGTATTTTTGTTGGCAACGATCGTACTTGGACTCTGTAAAATTGAATGGAATTTTTGTTCAGCGAATGCATGAAATATGGAGCTTAATAAAGCATAGAACTCACATCAAAATTGGAGTCAATGTCCTGTTCAGCAAACATGTCCCAATCAGTTCGTTTGGTAGCACCGTTGCCATCGGTTTTCGATTTGTTCAAGTCTTTGTGATCTCTATCTTTCGCTTCGTTGAGATCAATTGGTGGCGGCGGTGTGGTTGATTTTTTCAACTCACTTTTGGTTGGTTCGTGTGAAAATAGGTTTTTGAATGATTTTAGTCCCGGTTCTTCCACAAATATGACGTCATCATTGCTTTCGTCTGTCATAGAATCGGCAATCAACTGAGAGCGGCTATCCTTCGTTCCACCACCACCAGTGGATAGTTTCTATGGATGGAAAAGAAAGAAAGTGAAACAGTTAAGACAACGAATTTGATTAGTATGATCATTGTTTTATTTCTCATAATCCGCTATAGAAATGCGCAGTAAATATGGTTCGAGATCTCTATAAATTACCTTCATCAGCTCTTCTCGCTTTTTTCGTCGCATTTCGATAATTTTCTCTTCTTCGTCCTCGTCGTCAATATCAATGTCGCCCACGTCACTGCCACTGCTCGATTCTTTGTGCTTTTGACCTTCACTCAATGATCCCATGTACTTGTCACTTCGTTCGTCTTTTCGTTTACGCGATGCGTCCTCCGAACGATATTTGTCATCTCTTGAATGCTTCTGCCTACTGCCATACCGGTCATAACGGTCGTATTTATCATGGTACTCACGTGCTTTATTTCGATCCTAAATTACAAAAGTACAGAGATTATCGTAAGCTATCCAAATTGAATAAATGGCAATTACTTGAAAATAAAATTGTTTTTTTTCCCCACAAGACATGATTCAGTTATAGATATCTTGTCTTTATGCTTAATTTATTTACCTCCCGTTCGCGCTGGATTGCCGATGATGTGCTCGACGATGACTGTGTTTTATTTCGTTCAGTCATTGATATTCGAGACTTTGTATTGGGTGAATATGTTCCAGGTTTATTAGCCGACGAACTTTGCCGTTTCGGGCTATTCCTGCTCCGCTCTCTGTCACGGTCGATTTCTTTGCGTAAGTCTTCTTTGAACCGATTTTCAACATCGGACCGGCGATTTTTCGACGTTTTATCATTGTCACGATTGTTGTCTCGGTTGTCTCGGCTGTCACGATTGTCACGGTTGTTGTCACGATTGTTGCGACTATTGCCACCGGTTCGATCCTTGTACGTACGTTCCCTGCTCCTGGATCGACTGCTGCGTGATTTCTTTTTCGGTGGAGATGGTTTTTCGGAAGCTTCATTGCTACTGTCATCGAGCAGAATGATATCGTTGGTGGGAGGTTCGGCTGTTCGTTTCAGTTTTGTCTTGTCGCTATTTTTATCGTCTGCGATGGCTTTGTTTATAGCGGCAACGGCGGCTGCTGCTGTAGCAACGGTGACATTAGACGAAAGCGGTGTCTTGTGTGAATTTTCACTCTCCGTGTCTGACATCACAATGCCACCCAGTCGCGCCTGCAAGAGAGCCTTCTGCCGCATAAGTTCCTCCAAATTTAAATCATCCTCTTCGATAACAGCCACATCTGGACTATCGACATCACGCACGGTATCACTGTCGGATGCCGACGAAACGACTTGGGTCGATGTGTTCGGATCAAGTGATTTCGTAATAAATTCGACTAATTTACTTGGATCGGTTGGAATTTTACTAGCACTACTGTCACGTTTGGATGCGTCCGCACCATTTCCGTTGTATTTTGTCAGTATTGGTGCCTTAGCCACAACAACATGCCCATTGGATTTCATAATTTCCGTAAATTTGGTGTTGAGCGTTGACGTCGATTGTGGAGGTAGCTTTGTTTCGGTGTCATGGCGACTTGACAAGCTCACCGTATCACCCTTCAGTTTCACCGCTGCAATGTCTGTGTTTGATTCGGAGCTAAAGCCATCACTGGACTTGGAACGTTTGTGATGTTTTTTATGCTTTTTACTGCTGCTGTGTTTCTCTTTGCCATCGCCATCATGTTTCTTCGACTTCTTATTCTTCTTATGTTTCTTGTGTTTCTTTTTACTTTTCGATGATTCGCCATCTCGATCTCGTCGGCTTCGTTTCTCCAAATCCAACGATTCATTGTCCGATTCATGAGTGCTAGATCAAAATTCATACAAAAGTGATACACGCATTGAATTATACGTAAAAAAAAGAGAACAAAATCGCCATTTACTAGCAGTTCACCCTTATTTTCATAAAAGTTGACATTTAAACGTTTGGTCAAAAGTCAATAAGTAAGTGCAATGCAATGGTTTTTCTTGGTTTTAATTCATCGAATTTTCACTTACCGTTTCTTATCACTTCCCATGTTGTCAATTGATTTCCCGAGTGTGTATTCGCAAATTCAACGCAGTTTATTTGAATAATTTGTTCAAAAACAAGAAAGAAATTCGGAAAAACAAAAAGTTCATATGAAAGAAATTGGTGGAAAAATTATCAAACAAACACTTGGTTACGTTTATTGATATACTCGATCTTAGCTCTAGGTTGGTTGGCTTTTGTTGATTGAGTTTGACGTTTTCGGATTTCGGTGATTGTTGCTGCCAATCAGATTCGCGAAGAGAGAAAAAACCACCCAAATCATATTCTGTGCATATTCCACTGCCAGTCGGTCTTTGTTTTTCACGTTCGTAAAGCAATCTGAACAATTCGGTTTCGTGTTTTTGTCAGATTTTCACCAAAAAACAATCACTGTTTCTTCCAATTTCTCCACAAATATTGTTGAATGAACTGGGTCACACTCAGTGAATGTATTATATGAATTTAACCTAATGCGAGTGCACCAAGCATTTTGACATATCGTGTCGCTCTAAACGTTTTACAACCGATTTTCGACTACATCGACAGATTCTACAGACGTCGCACACACGGCGATTCGTGCAATCAAATGGTGTATATTATTTTGGTTTGACAGCTAACTTCATGTGTATTGGCGTTAGCGGCATAATTTCCACACGCCAAAAAAAACAACCTCAACACAACCGATTGATACAATCGAATCGAACCAAAAAAATTATTTTGCAAGCCACCACGTAATTAATCCAGCACAAAATTCAAAATGACCTCAACGGCTGGACCAACAAATCAATCAACTTTATTACCACTTGGTAAGACATTGGAAATTACATTTCATTCGATGGAATTATTCTGAAAACATGTGTATATGTGTCTAATAGGTGACCATTTCAAACGTTTACCTTTCACAGAATTGGTTGATAAGTGCATCGGATCACGCATCCACATAATTATGAAGAACGACAAAGAAATGGTCGGTACACTGTTGGGCTTTGATGATTTCGTGAATATGCTATTGGAAGATGTCACCGAATACGAAAACACACCGGAGGGCCGACGAATCACAAAATTGGACCAAATCCTGCTCAATGGAAACAATATCACGATGCTGGTGCCAGGTGGCGATATGCCGGAAAATTAAACATTAAGTTTTCTTCTTTTTTTTTAATTAAGTGGAAAATATCGATCCCCAATAAACGCTTATACTTATCGAAACTCAGGTGTGTTTTGTTTACGATGCTGTGATGTTATTCGATTGATTAATGGAAAATTAATTCCATTTGAAAAATCTCCTAGAATAAACCATATTTGGATGTCCAAAAATCAGTAATATTTGCTAACCCAAAATTTTATTCCAAAAGTATAACCTATGAATGAAACCTCAAGGCGTTTGGATGAATTACTAACAGTTTCATCTTTTAACTACTCAAACAGTTCGATGTCGAAATTGGTGAATTCTTTACTTTTGTCAAAATAAGCAAGATACTTTGTCGTTTTCTTCTCTATATTCACATTAGAAAGCCAAATAAACATTGTTCATTGAACAATATCGCATTCTGTGAACTATTCCCACACAGTTTTTCATTGAATAAGTTAAAAATCAACAAAAGTGTTGCAAAAGAGTATCTTTTCTTTTGAACAAAATGAACACAAACGGAAATTTTTCATGCTTGATGATTGTGAAGCAAGTGCGAATTTTTTTCCCCCAAAATTGAATCGAAACGCAAAAAGATTGACTTTTTTCTTCATTTTTACTTGAACATCAATTGATGTATAGAATTTCCATGGAAATTCGTTAAAAATTCAAAAGAATAACGTAAAATTAATGCATCTAAAAGAATATTTTATGTGAACATTTGATTCCAAGTAGATTAAGTAGTCTGTCGATCGTCATCAGGTTGATTCAGAAATATCTGAAAAATTTCAAACAAACATGATTAGTATTTTTGTCGAAAATAAATTGTCAATATTTTTCGGTTCATCGAGTGTAAGGAAAACATTTCGTTGTTATTATTTGGACCTACATTTTCTAGGCGATTGTTGATGACATCGTCCAAAGTGTTCGGAGGTTCAGTAGAGGTTTGTTCGTTGGAACTGCTGCTTGACGATGCACGAAACATGTCAATCACATCCTTTGGGATGCCATAGTTATTTCGTTTACTTGGTTGAATGCCACAGTCTGAGTTGAGATATCGAAATTCTGGATCTTCTTCCTCCTCATCATCTTCATCGATTGTCTGAAACGTGGTTAAAACGTTATTATAACAGACATTTGTCAATACAATACTCAACAGTTGGATATGAAATTCATGCATGCCTACCTCACAATCGTCCAACAGTTCATTCCATTCAAATGCCAATGATTCGGAGTGCTTTTCACTGAATGGCGAAAAATCCAACAAAGAAACGCGATCTTTAGTATCTCGGACTACATCAAAAACATCTGCCAAAGCAACAAATCAATTGGATCAGTGAATAAATACCGCAAAATTTTTCCAATAATTCAAAAACTAATGCTTACAATCATAAAGTGGAAACTTTGGTTTGATGTGCTCCTTGAAAATACTGACAATATCATTTACAATGTTGACACGTTGTGTGCTGATATACTCATGGTATTGTGGCCAGTCTCTCGGTGAAATAGCGATCAATTTCTTGTTTCGTACAAAGCATCGGAACTCTGTGCCCGGATGGATGTCATGCCACTTTTTAAATATTAAAAACTGATTGTTCTCCTTAGATGCACTGCTATCGCTGCTGTCCGTATCGGTACTGCTGCATGCATCAGCCAATGGTTCCAAATCGAAGATGGGTAGGTTATGACAGCCCAAATCCTCTTTGCAAATACCGGATGCTTTTAGCAGTTGATAAATGTCGGTGATGTCCTTGCAACACATCGTCTGACCGGCGGTAATCCAAAATGCATCTTTTGGGCTGTTCCAATTGGTTTTAACAAAGACAGCACCGCCGAGGCGAGAAACGGCACTGGCCAGAGTTTGGCTGAACTCAGGGAATTCCGGTTGCTAGAAAATGATGCAAGAAAAGGTTTTAGTATTGAAAATCACCATTATGTCTCAATTTCAATCACTCACCACAACATCGTCCTCATCATCGTCATCATCGTTGCCTCCGGCTGCACCATTGTCATCCTCAAATGCACCTTCCTCATCGTTACTGTAGCATTCTTTCGGCAGTATAATTATTTCATCGAGAAGGTATTTCACAATTTCTTGGGGCAGTGGAATGCATACCGAATCGAATGTAAGTTTTCTGAATTTTTTGTACCAATTTGTGTAGGCACATGCACGCAAATCGACACACTCTTTGATCTCTTGATTATTTACATGCATGACAACGTCTCCGCTTTGAAAATTACACACACAAAATTTAAAAAGTTTCTGATGCAAACACTTAGTTTACGGTCAAAAAACAACTTGTATGTATGCTTTGGAATCGCGTTTTACTTGTCTCATGTAATTTTTGACATTTCATCGTCGAAACGAGCCCCATCTATTGAGTTTTTTTTTCAGTGTCGCCTTTGTTTGATATGGCGGTTCTTTACGAATTGTAAATTGCGAACAATTTCCAGATGATTAACACTATGACGGTTCTTGGGGAATCCAGGGCCCCAAGCGAACTTTAAAGTTGAATAAAAGTACTCAACAGTGTATAAATCAAACGGAGTGAAGTCTCATTGTATAGATTGAACATTTCTCTACACGAATGAAAAAAAAACATATGTATATGTGTGAGTATGTGTAAAATACAGCCTGCCGCAAAACATGTTAC